CGAGCGAAAATGCTGCAGGAAGAGAGTGCGCACTGTTTGCGCACCGCATTCGACGTATTACTTTCGTGATTACTTTACGACCTTATCTCTCTTTTCCCTTCGTGCCAGAACCGTCACCGGCGCTGAGCTCATCCTCTCTCGCGTCAAGCAGCTTCCACTGGTTTCAGCTCGCCTCCAGGGGAGTTCACACGAGTGAAGCAAAGAAGAAAAAAAAAACCAACAACGAAGAAGATATAAACGACAAGCAAACACGTTCACGTCGACAGCATTCAAGAGAGATCCCAAACCGAAACAATTCCTCACATTTCTTACTGCTCTTCGGAGGGAATTCTATTTCCATTTCCAAGAATGATATGCAACTTTTGGTCCAAATATTCGAAATCAGTTTTCAGGGCTGCGAGGATATAAGGGGGTTGAGGTTTAAATTAGGAAATTTACTATGTATTCCGACCCCAAACTGAATAAATTACGCGTTATTAATGCACCAACCCTATTGCCCACGAAGCCACAAACAATGCCAAAACAAGCAAACGGTTCGCGGTTTACGGGCGTGCATAACAACGTCTCGTTTGCTCCCCGAAACTCTAGCTTTACTAGCGCGATCAACAACAGTGATCAATTTATTCTAGCGCGACTGGCAATTCTTAGATAATTTATTTCGACAATTCGGGGCGTTAACGCGCCACTAAATACGCTCAGCCAGCACCCACCAACACCGGCCAGCGTAACCGACGATTTATTTTATGAAACTTGATATTGCCCCTCGCTTTCGGTCAGTTTTGGTCAAGCTCGAAAGTGCGCACACAATGTGTCGACGCGCATTGTTATTGCTGTTTAACGCCCTTGGACATCGGCCATTGCCGTAAACCGTAAACTCTTAATGTTCATTGTTTACTTGGCAACCACGGCGACCCAGAATTTCCAACCCACGATTAGTCACATAGCAAATAATTAATTCGTTAAAAAAAATCTTCATTACATGTGTAGAAAGATGTTTTGCTACAAGCAAAACACAAATACTGTACAAAAGTTTAAATAAACATGCTTAATGATATGCAAAGCCGGAAACCTTCGACGCTTGGTGAGGTTGTGAGGTTCGGTTTGTTTAACTCAACCTCGCCGTCGCCGGAGAGACAAACAGAAAGGGTCAATATATTTCCGCCTCATTATCGCCGAGTTGGACGGCGAGAATATGGTTGAACCTTCAACGAATATAAAGACGAGAGACAAAAGGCTTAGGACTCGTCATCCCATCATCCGGGCATTCTGATCAGAGCACCTAAAGCCTCGCCGGGAAGCAGCTCCAATTTAATGAAGTCGACAGTCGACATCAGCGCGGAATATTAAGAAGCACAGCGGGTCTTTTGAGTTCAAAAGGTGAAAACTTAAAAGGGGGAAGTTTTGAGCTGTTTTGAGCTCACTTTGACTTTGAAGGTCTTCACAAAAGTTGATAAATTTGTCACAAGCAATTTTAATCTGCACACAATCAATAGCGCATTGTTTTCGTATTGTCGTTTTTTGTTCGCATTGGACAGATACAATTTATCATTGTATTGTTGGACCCTCTTGACGACAATACCAATGCAAGTTCTACAGCTAGAGATTATTATAGATCAAGGGCACCTGCCACGGATGGCAAATGATGTACTAAGGTCGGGTCCGCTACGTGCCCGGGGTGGTGTTACCGCGTTCGCCGCCAGCATGCGAAATTTCGGGTGCGGGCGGGCGCGCGAGAGAGGCGGTTACCCGCCCGCGCCGCGGCTTGTTTAATTGCGACCGATCATTATCTGGTGATGTACGGTTTATATCAATAGCCGCCAGGTTCATTCACGGCGTGATTTGTGTGAAGTTTGAACAGATTGCGACTGGCCGGGGCGCGGCTTTGTTCTGGCGGCGGCGGCGGCGGTGGCTGGGCGCGCGATTGTTGTCGTTTGTCGCTCGACGGAATTCGTTTGACGTTTTATTGTCGTCGGGCGGCGGGGCGCAAACACCAGCGGTTCGTTTATGTACTGGAATAATTGACGCTGCAATAGCGTTGTTCGATTTTATTAGGCAACCAGTCGAACATCGTTGCTGTGTAATGAAGAACACACGCGTGAGCTGGCGCGATCAATTCATAATCAAGCCATCCGCAGGGGGCCGTTTTGTGTTTGGTGCATAATTAAAATGTTTCGGAATTCCAGCGCGCTGCATCGCTTATTGAATATTTGACATTTACCAGCGACATCTATCGATAAACCCTGTATACGCGTATAATAGCTCGTATTGAGTATACAGTGTGTCACGAATTGTGTGATTATTAGTCAATTCGCGCACAATTTCCCATCCGCATCAATATTCGCCGCTCGTCGCTCATCGCATGGCGGCGGCGAAATTCGAGATAATTAAATTTCCCAAGCGCATGGACCACCTCCGTCCGCCGCCGTGTTCCGGCTTCCTTACCCCCTTCGTTCATTATTTCCTCGTAGTCTTTAATAACTGCTTACGAGCTAAGTGTGTGTTCTTGATGGGTTTTAGCCAAGCGCTCACTTTCCGCAGGTTACGGTTTCGGGTTCCAGCCGCCGCCCCCCACTCCACAAAACAGCAAGCAATGTTAGGCAACCCGTTAGGCTAGTCGACGGCGTGGCGAAAAGTCCCGTGTAGTCTCGTCGGCTCCGGTTAATTTGCAAAGTTTGTTCGCGCGCACCGGGGGCGGCACAATTTCGGCGTCCGCATAATGTGCGGAGGGATAATGTGGTGTTTGTACACCGCGACATTTAATGTCGTGTGCATTTCGGCCGGCGTGTGGAAGTCAATTTTATACTTTATGATTGCGCGCGCCACTAAATAAACATTTTCGTCATTATACGCGCGGAGTAAATTAAGAATGAGGGGCGTGTTAGTTTTGAAACTAGGCGAACAAAAGATCCGGATCTCGTGATAAAAGACATCATTATAAATCACTGAAAATTTTAGCAATTTGTTCCGACTGCTGGGCTACAAGTTTCGCGGCGTCGCCGAACATTTTTCAATATTTTAGAAACGCCAAGCAATTTATCATGCCCCCGAAAACGACAAAGACGAAGAAAACAACCGCAAGAAGCGACCGCAAATTAAAATTAATCGTTAAATATTCCCCCCTCCACTCCTCTCGTACTTTCCTTATTCTTGCAAAATATACACAACCCTTTCATATTTTCCAGAGATAAACAATGAAACATTTTATTTGTTTACACTGCGGTGCAGTTTCGGCGGGTTTTATGCGTTACCAAACATACGCGTACTAAAATTGATAACGCTGGAAAGTCTTAAAAAGTACGCAACGGCGCATCTTATAAACAAGCGTCGTAAATAACAATATCTGAAGAAAATATGGTCGTAATAAAAAAGCACTCGCTCCACTTTTTCGGTAATAAACTCGCGTGAACGCATTTTCAAGTTTTTCTTGCGCGCGCGAGCAAAAAACCGCGCGTCAACATTATTTGTCATTCTTGAGCTTATCTAATATTTATAAACACCTTTTTATTGCTTGGATAACAAATATAAACCATTGTGTATGTAAATTATACTTTTCAGAAATAAAAACTTTTTCGCAACGACCTTGAATATTTGATTTCTGGCAACTTTCTGATGTTTTTTGCGTCGTCAAAGGTGCTTTTATTAGATAATCAAGTCACGAAGACGCCAACGGGATAATATCATTTCGGTGTATATACATCAGCGCATGCCGCCCCCGCAAGAAGCATGCACCACCCCTGACAAAGCAAGCATTCTGCAAATCCACCACGCAGCCATGTTTCACCGACGCTGGAAGCTTTCTATAAGCGTATGAAGGATGCGAGACGTGCGCTTTTGGATTCGATAATATTGCTCCTGCGTTTCACGTTTCACGTACACCTGCAAAGACCCCCGAAGAATGTGATATATCTACGGCTAAAACTCGGCGTTGGATGATGTGATGAATACTCATACAGACCCCGCTCGAAAAAAAAGGGCTAAAACCTTATATATGAAATAAATCCACACGACAAACCGAAAAAAAGAATCCTCTTAAACCTAAACACCCCTTTGGAAACTCTCGCAACGGGCAAAAAATCCCCGGGAAAATTGGTTTGATGAACGACTCTCCATTATTAGTCCATTAAAAGCACATACAAATTTTTCGATGACGATAAAAACCTTTGGGTCCACGCCTCTCGAGCACTTTGTAGAGGAACATGCGATGGTGGCATGCAGGAAAATTCGCGCCGGCAAAAAAGGCATCTTTATCTTCGGGAAAGTCTATACAAAGCCCATTATAAAGCTATCAAGGCAGGCGGGGGTGCGTCGCGCGTCGTCTTGATTGAAAAAGTGCTTTGCACATTTTCGATCACGCGCGCGCGCACGCGTCGATAAAAAATGCATAAATCTTAATATAACGATTCAATATCACTCAGTGTGGCCCCGGGGCAAAAATTTTACGACCTCCCTGCGCCGGCGAATTTCCATTTCGCTTAATTTTATTTGCATTTACTTAATGTCTTTTGAAATTCCGCCCCCGCGCGAAGAAGAAAAAAAAAACACCATAAACCTTCATAATACCAGGAAAACATTTCGCCAACGCCAGAAAATTACCAACTAAACATAAACACTTTATGTCTTGATGCGTTTATGTTCAAGGCGCTTAAAATTTCTTGTTGTGCTGATGATACTCGCGGTTTGTTGTTTGATAAGCTTAAAGATAAATAGTTATAAAATAGTTGTTTTTGTCACTGGCTCTTAACAAAGATGTCTTGCGTCTTGTGTCGCTTCTGGACTTGGCTAGAGGTTAATTAATCTCGTCATGGTCTCACTTATAACCGGCTGGTCGAATTTCCGAGTTTAATCTCTTCGCAGCCAGCAAGAAATTCACGCTTGCAAAGTTTCGGCGTGAAACTACTCACACCTCACCAAACCCAAAGCACCCTTTTCTTGATGTAGATGTATGTGTTCCATGGTCTCGACTACAAGTTGTTACCGGTTGCTTTCGTTACTTGTTACAGATATGCCGTCGCCGGCGTGCTCCCTCGTCAAGTACCAAGGCTGGCATGACGTGAAGGCGTCCGATCTGGGCGTGTGGGCGCCGCTGGACCTCGCGCCCGTGTTCATCGCACGCATGAGGTTAGTTAACTGCGTTCCATTAACGCCACACAACGACATATTGACGAAGAACACCGGGCCAAAAACCCCCAACCGAGTCCAACAGATGCTCAACTACTCGCTTATTGTATTAATTACTTACGTTAATGACTCGGCGTAAATTATTCATGACCAAAGTTTAACATTCAAGGTCAAATATCATCAAAATTTAAAATATAAATTGATATTCGCCCAAAATCAAAAATTAATCCATTTATTTGTATTTATGGATGCATAAAGCTCGTTTTATCAACACCCAACCAAATGTTTGCTATAAATGAAAATATTCATCACAGTGCTCAAAGTTATTAGTTCTCCACACATATACATGGATATACCTGGCGTGTGATTCCGGAAAATGACGAATTCGATTGTGGCGCGTCGCATGAATCACGCAAATATGATTGACGTTTAATACGCTCGCGTCGCATTTGCTCATTTTTCATCATTGCGCTCGCGACGCTCGCCCATTTATTATATTATTCGCGAATAAAATCGAAGTCCATTGGCGCACACGCCGCGCTGCACTTGATTATACAACTAACAGCGTGCGCATTGTTTCGCAGTATAAAGCACAACACTTCGTTAAAGCAACGCAGCGCAGTGCAGAGATAAATAAATCCACCTTTATGTTGACTAGTGTATTATTAGCGCGCTTTTATTTGCGCACTCGTTAGTGCATCAAACAGAAATTCATACCTATTATCGCTTTTTATTACCTATTAAAATGGCACCGCTCACTGCGCCATCTATGAACCCGTAGCGCATAATAAAAATATTTTTTATTTTTTTATTTTTAAATTTTAGTTTTATTCGGTGTTCAAGGGGATTCAGCAAGTTTATAAACTTTATCCCGAGTTATCAGCGTGTAGTAGGTACGAGTAGGTATGAGAAACGACATGAAAGTTAGGAATATCATCAAGGAATTGAACTTTTCATTCCTTTCTATACTTCCCTCTTCTTCACGCTTGTGTGTTATTCTCGTGTCTTTTTTGTTTGCTTTTCTTTAGTTTCCACTGGCGGTGGGAACTTGATGCTTTGCATCTATATCTATAATGATAGCGTATCGGGTGGAATATGTATGCGCATTCAGCACCCGAAGCACTTCGACTAATGTACTCGGAAGCACCGCCATATCACACACAAGAAAAAAACCGGCGACTTTTTTTCTGCGCTAGACGCGACCGAAAATCAGTTCAAGTTTTAAATTGCCTCGCGGTTTTTTTCTTCTTCAGAGTGAAGAAAAAAGTTTAACACACTGTATAATATTTTATGGAGCTGTTCATGATGTCATAGCTGGTATTATCTAAGTTTTGACTAGTTTCCCCATTATATTCACATAATGCGGTTAGTTCCGAGTCGAAAGTGCATCACAATATATTTATTTTGCGTGGCATTTGCATTTCTTAGCAACGGCGCGGCGTAATCCCATAACAAGTCATATAAAATCCATTCGAACGACGACGCCGAAGCGAATTAACCGCCGCTCAGCCAACCGACAGCGGCGGTACGCCGCCATCATCTTATTCGCCGTTAACATTTATGACCTTAATAACGATATACGCAATATCGTAAAAATGAGCATGCCAACACTATGCAATGTGCAATTTATACAAAGGTGTAACATTAGCATGAAATCATTAAAGTTTAAGTATAAACACCAAATGTTATTCAAACTACTTCAAAATAAGCAAATTCCAGGTGTAAATATTAACTACCAACGCCATATATTATTCATTAGTGCATTTTTATGATATTTTATCTTTTAAAATATTTTTATTTAGTTTTTAACTTGAAGGTGATATATTTAAACACGGATGTGAACTATGCGGCTCTCACTTCGAGTGGAAAACTTCACAATGATAAAACCACGAGCGTAATGCCGGCTGATGTGTTGACGCACGGAAATAAATGCAAAGTAATGCTTTTACACCCAACACAGTCTGCTATAAAATTGCGCGCAAGTTTTAAAAGTCGCCTTGCATTACGCCAGACATCCCCGAGGCTCCCGGGGTCGACCCCCTTGAGGGGTGGTGGCGACACACGCGTAATGCCGCGACATGCGGAAAAAAGATGTGTGTACCCAGTGTTTCGGTTCGTGTGCTCGTGGATATTCAGTGTACACAAAGTTTTCCTGCACTGTGTCGCAGCGCTGCGCTGCTGCAGGAGTGTTTCTTGAAGTTGATGAAAACTGAACGCGGAGAAAACGCTAAAACAATAAAGTTTCGGGGCGCGGAGATCTTCGGCGTTCGGCGACGACGTCGAGCGCGAGATATGCAAATGTGAAAGTTTTGCTTTTTGCTGCTTTTTGTTTTCGAGGATAGCAGGAGGCGGGGGAAGGAGTGCTTTTATCGTTTTTCTCGATGGCGAGAGTTTAATTTCGGTCTTACGACACTAAACCGGAGGCTCTTACTGTCTTACGCTCTTAGCATCTTATATTCTTACATAGATATAGTTTGAAAGATGCAATATGGTATTATATAAACAAAAACAACAGAATAAAAGTTTTAATTAATCTTAATAAAAATATGCAAGGAATCTATCAGAAAACTGGTGTATATCATTAATCTTAATTACATCTTCATTATATAGAGTAAAAAATAGTTTTTTATGAAATTTTTTAAGAAATTTTTTCGATTTACTAAATAAAATTCTAAAAAAATGTTTGCTGTTGGCCCAGAATGCAAAATGTGGTTGCGCGAGTGTATTTTGGATGAAAAATGTAGTTTTCGGCCGATTCAAATCGAGTTTCGCATATAAGAAAGTTAAAATGCATGTAATTTAAGCAAAACTCTGCGCTAGATGCGGACCGACCCCGGTAAGTACGTGTAGACAGACACAAATGCCTCCTAAGGCGAAAAACCGATTCAAGGGACGGCCGAAAGTCGTTTATTATTCACACTCGCTCTGAGCGTGCACTCTGCCGCCGCCGCCGCCGCCGTCACAAACCTCTCCGCGCGGGCGCCCTCCTAGACGCACCCCTAATGGCATGTTGAAAAATCAAACAAGTGATTAATCTAATATGCTAAATCCCCGCGCGGAATAAATCAAAAGTTCGGATCATTCATCTTCATGCACGACAATTAGTGTCTCGAGATTTTTCCACTTATTTTTCACTTTTTGTTATAAATGACGGCCGCGACGCACCCCGAATAATATTTATCTTTGGAGATTTATTAATGTTTTCCTTGTGGCGGCGACAACCAAACAACACACAGTGCCAACCCAGGAACAAGAACTATATTACGCTCCAAAGAGTGTAATACACTCGCAATGTACGTATAGATATAGAAAATATCGCGGCGGAGGGCTGCAATCGCGAGCGATTATGACGACGTCGACCGAAACGGGCGATTTCTTTATCTGCGCGCCTTTTGTCGGCGGTGGCGGCGGCGGCAGCGGCTTTGTTTGCGCCGACGGAGCGTGCGCCCCAGTTATCCAACTCGAAACAATCGTTTGTTTGCCGGCTCGCCGCCCGCAACTCATTATTGTTTGCTAAGTAACTGGATAATGGACTTATCGCATGATTGATTTCGATGATTTCGGCCATTAAAATTATTTCTAAGCCATTGTATCATAGATGGCGCTGTGAAAATTTCAATACTTTTCAGCGTTGAAAAACTTATTCTGCCTGAGCAAGTTTCACTAAAGACTTAACGATGATAAATGTACGAAATCTCCATCTCATCGTGATTACACACCCAACTCAACTATATATTAACAAAATTACGCACGAGAAATACCCAATTTCGGTATTTTAATACGCGTAGATTCTCATACGGGGTTATTAACATAACTTAATGAAGAACTTGGAAACAATTTGCATACGTAGACATGCACACACACGTGCGAGTGTGAATGTGTATCCTTTTCTTGTGCGCGCAAGAAATAAGCGCTCTGATGAAGAACGCGCAAAGTTAACTTATTAACACCTAAAACTCTTTGCGTAGACGCGCGCGAGATTTAGAATAGCGACGAAAGCACTTCTTCGCCGGTGTTCGCACGCCGCCAACTTTAGAATTTAATCACATATATTAAAGCGCGCGCGTCAAGGTAATAGCGCGCCGCCAACGCCTCCAACACAATTCATACACGTGTGAATAAATTGTGAATTTCGGAGCGAGGCCAGGTTAGAAGATCAAACGCAAAACATAATATTTTTAATCCTCTTCAAGTAAATTTCTATTGGAATACAAAATTCTATTCAAATTCAAAGCTTTTGACTATTCAACTGTTTGGATTTGTATCCGTGAAACTATAACCATAACCACAAAGCTTTTCGCGCTGATAAATTCGCACAGCGTGGATTGATACGCAGTTAAACATTTTGTGGTGCTAATCGTGGCAATCCGAAGCAAAACAACCGAAAACATTCGCTCCCGAAAGCAAACCACATTTATCAGCCTCTCCAGCGGCATTCTATCGATATAATAGATAAAAGCTAACTATGGACACACCACCACGGATGGATTGAAACGTGGACACGTGAACTATCGCCCGGGAAATTGAATTTTTGCGAGTGTAGAATGAGATTTTTACGCAAAAAATCCATATTTCAATTTTGTCGTGCATTAATCATCGTTTATTCGAACGATGACATAAATCTCCACTCCGACTTTTAATGCGCATCTCTAGGAGAACGCTTAAATGCTGAGGCAAGCCCACGACGAGTGCACTCACAAATGCCATCAACTATTTATGAATACACCTACACTTCTCAAACAAAAAGAAAATGAATTTTTTACTCGCCGAGCAAAATTTTTAAAACTAAAAGTGTAGTGCGGATTTTTAATGAGGTAATTTTATTTTTTCTGGTGATAAAATATGCGGTTTTAATTTTTTTGTTGAACCAGACTGTATATTAAAGAAGCTTCTCTCGCGTTTTCTATGAGACAGCAATCGGATTAAGTCCGCATTACGAGCGCTCGAAAAAGATAATAAAAAATCAACTCACTGCTTTTTTGAGGCTGAGATTGTACCAGCACCACGAAGCCGGTTGCACCTTCTTAGCGTCCCCGCATAATCCACCAGACAGTCAAATCTTCGACTTCAACTTGTTCAATCCCGCACTGAAATGAATAAAAAACAAAAATAAATTTACTGCAAAAAATATTACCGGCGAAAATATGTCAATAAAAGAGTGTGAGGGCGAGTTGTGTGACTTTCTGACTTGGTTTCGGTCGCCTGACCATGAAAACGAAATAAATCATCGGCCATTCTGCGTCTGTACTACACTCCATTTCGTATGTATTTTATAAGAAACTTTCCGGGCCCATTTTTCTCGGCAAAACACGGGCGTAACTCGAATGCCACCATCGACGAGGGAAAATATTGGCGCGCGCGTCCACGCAAAGCATGAAAGAAGAAAAAAAAAACGCGAAGAAGAAGAAATGGGTAGCGGGAGCCGGACGGTGAAAACCTTTTATGATAAGTGTCGCGTCTAGTGTTCGGGCTCGAGGGTCTTTTCGTCCCGGCGTCCAATCTCCCTATCAACTCCCCGTATCAACCCCCTGGCCGCCGCTTTCAGTATATACTCGTACTTCAGTGAATGACTGAAGTCCTTTCGCAAAAAAATACGAGCAAAAAAGTTCAACTGCAAAAGAAATAAAAGAAAAAAAAACTTGGAATACCTGCATCCTGGGTGGAAATCTCGAGAGGATACAGGTTTATTTGAAATACGAGTACAGAGTCATCGATATTTTAAAATTAGAAAATACCTATCGCATCATAGTTTGTAATTTAACACCAATGAAATAATACCTCAAAATTTCATCATGCAACATAACCTAGTATAATAAAATGAGGTTATGTGATAGTGCTGCCATCTATCGGTGTTAAATCCAACAAAAACCAAAGAATTTTCATTATGTTTGCGCTACAATAGAAAATGTATGAAATTTGCGCTAGACATCGAGGAGGAAAACAACGTTCGCGTATTTTATGCGTAATTATCGCCCACAAGTTGCACGCGCGCTTAATTACGAACTCTAAACCTTTATGCACGTTATTAGTTTCGTGCAGGCAACAAAAAAAATAAAATTCTAACAAATATCTTGTTAAAAATTACAAATTTACTTTACTAATTAAAAGAAACAAAAAACATCCAATTACCTGCAAGTACAAGTTCATTTAATTCACAAAAACATGCCGGCGCACAATGCAGCGAAGAAAAAAACTACACAATGTAGCTGTTAGATGCGTTTAATTAAATTTAATTTCCTCCGCATTAGCATTAACTTTAATTGTGAATATTTGCATTGTCTGCGCACAGCTTTCCGAAATGCACAGCATTTATTTATATTTTTCGACTTCTTACTGCTAATTAATGCGGAATAAAAATAAACACGGCGTTTAATGATCAAATCCAAGAGTGGAAAAACAATCAAACATTACTGTTGCTGTCAGTTTTCTTTTGGAGCATCTGTGCGCTTCGTTAATTTTGCTTTTAATCGTGTTACAAACAAAAATTCGCAACAAAAAATAAGATTAATGGCTTGTTGTGATTCAACCTGACGTGTTATATTGTTTTCCAAGTTGATAGTTTTATAATGAAAGCAATTGTTGAAATAAAATTACAAAATAAAAAACAAATACACATTTTAAAAGCGAATCGCATAATTGTGTTAAATTAATTAATTCAATTGTAACGCGGAATGAATTTTATAATTCAAACTCAATTTTGGACCTAAAGCTCATTTCATTCACAAACGACCCTAGGGTTCACCGGAGTATTCCTATTTCCGAAATTAAAGAATTAATAATACAGGATTGCAACACACCAATTATGTAGGTAGGAATATGTGTGTGTGTGTAGGTGTCCTGTGTTCCAATCTGTGTCTTTGCGTCCTTCTTATTCGTTTCATTGGCGCTTTACGGTTTTCGGTTTGGCAATTCCTGCAGCGCGGCTTGCTGGACGACTAAGTCGTTTATTATAATTACTAAACCAAAAACAAGGAGCGGTTTCCCTTCGCGCAGGTTTTATCTGGCGATTTATCGTTCGCCCACACCTCACACACCCACCCAGCCCAGCAATTTCCACCCTCAAGCGTCCGACGTGCGGAGGGTGAATGCAAGCTACAATTTAGTTCTTTTTATCCAAGGGATAATGTAATATTATGTTCCATAGTAAATCTTGTTACGCGCGCCGGCGTTAAAAAACATATTTTATTCGTTGCCGGTCTGGCGGGTGCGATGGTTTACGAGTCTGCGGCGTTGAAGCCTCGAAGGTTGGAACAGACCTTCTAAGACCACTTTCTTCTTTTTTTTGCATTGCAGAGAAGCAGAAAAAAATAACGCAAACTTATGCTACTTATGCGTGCGACGCGCTGAACATGCGAAAAAGTTTTATTTTTCAGTTTTTGGGTCTTTAAAGGCGTTAAAAACGCGTAAATCTTTTGGGATTCGTAGATTAAATCACTTACGCACCAGTTACGACTATTATTATCATTGTTAGACATAGAAATAAATTTTTTTCGTCGAAAAATTGACCAAAAATTAATTTTCGAAGAAAAATATTGAAAATAATTATTTTGTTATTTGTGGTGCACATAATACACAACAATTATTTAAAAATGTCAACACGATAGAAGTGAGTAAAAATAAATAAAACATTTTAATATCGACGGCTTTCGGTTAATCGAAAAATTCAATTTCGACTTTAATTTTAGCGAAACAAAATGCAACAATCAAATATTTATTATTGGATTTCAATTCGAAAACTTTTTGATTGAGTCATTTGGTGCAGCGATGCTTTTATGCCGCGAGTCGGCGCGTAAAACAATAAAACCCACCCCCGACATTGCCTCAACAAACTGCATGCACTCACACACACATGTGGGTAGCGTGTTGCGCATAAAACAGCATCGCGGACGCGACATTCTGCAATTTTACAATCGATGTGCGATGTATCGACATGATTATTCAACCGGCCGCGCGCACGGGTCGCGGATTTTTCTGTTTGATCTGAAATTCCAATTGCAGTTCGCGCGCGCACGGCGAAAATTTTATTGATTGAAATGTACGCCGTAAAATGTGAGCAACGCAAATTTTAAAATCCCCTCACCAAATTCCCAGCACGCCCATTCATTTCACTGAGCGCACGCTTTTTATTTTCCACAGTGCAAAACATTAAAATCGCCCGCGTCGCGCAAATTATGCGATTCGAATTTATTTGATTATCCAGAACATTTACATTGCTAAAATTTTATGTTTTGTACTAGACGCTACACACGACGAGAAACTGGTGTTAATAAAAACAACACTTTATACACACTGTATGCGCAGTAAAACAGCAGTCAGTTAGTAATTGTAACTGAATGTAGTTTATTCACTCCCCAAACCAAAACCTATAAAAGTCCGCAAGTTCCACGCTCACACGGATTCGAGTGAATTGTCGCTCTCTCCGCCAGTAACGGCAAATCCGCTCGCGCGGACTAAAAACAAATGAAGAAAAAGCTAGTTGGGCAGCATCTGGCTGGCCACCTATTATTTATGCGATTAATAACGCCGAATGCTAACTGCGTCGCGCTGGAACATGAACTTGATGTAAAACCTCCTCCCGAACATTCAATGATCCAAACTTGCTCGGATGGAAGCGATAGAAGTTGGATGCTGTAGCAAGAGCTTTTTATAAGTCGCCAGTTGTCGGAAATTTATTAAAGCCCGGCAGTAAGTAGATCAGCGGCATGGTGGACCCTCGGAAGGGTTTTCCACAGCCGGAAAAAAAGCGGCGCGACCTTTGCTAGCCACAAATGCGCAATCGAGGAGCGAGAGGAAGAAATGAATTATTTTTTCCGCACAACCTGCCCACATAGCTAGGCGGAGAGGATATTTGACCTAGACGCCGAGGTGAAAGCAGCAAAAAGTTTAATATCGAGCCAGAACGCTGGAAATTTTCCGCATTTATTCAACTTTTCACGCTGGCGATGACCGACTATGCCCTCACGTGCCGCAATCTGTGCGCGGATGCACAGCCCCGACCTTTATTTACTTGCTAGATATAAATTTTCGTCATAATATACAATGCGTTCGTAGATATACACATAGTAAATTCCCTGGATTATCAAAGCAAAATTTAGACGTACATGTAAGCCGGTATTCCGTGTCTATAATTCAATTAATCAGACAATTATATCCTATCGCTCCTTCGTGTGCTCCGAACCGCATTGCCTGAAAGGCACTGGGTGTGGGTAGGTGTAGATCTCGTATGCCGTTATCTCGGCGGCTTCGAGTCGCAAACGCGCACAAGCATAATGTCGAATTGATTTATGACAATTAATGAAATTTATTAGTATTAACACGTTCCGTGCGCGCCAGCACGTCGCAATTTACTAGCGCGTTACACATCATAATGTGCCTTCAACCTGTCATATCAGCTATCAGCATATTAAGCGTTTAACTGGGTTTCATTAAGGTGTAAAGTCGTGACGCGCCCCTGACGGAAGTTGTGTTAATCTACATTTACATAAAATTTAACTGTTTCAAAATTGGGATGAAAGTTGGGCGAACAAAAACCTCTCCTCACGGTAATAATTGCAGAACTGCACAGGTACAGCTAACTAGAACTAGGAATGCTCCTCAGAGGGATATAATAGATGTATCATAGTTTCGCGGCGAATCGCGCGTCCGCCGTTCAAATATTCAAAACTACGCTGGCGAATATTACCACTTGAGATACCCACCCACACCAGTACTAAGGCGTGTAGCAATTGAGTGTAGAGATGTAGATATTGGTGTGCAGACTCTCCGCTTGGGCGATAAATAGTTTCGAAATTTCAGCGCACCGGCACCGAGCGAGTGATAACACGTAAGTTTGTGTGCCAAGCGTTGTTTGCCAAGCGAGAAGGGTTTGACTTGCGCTGGTTTTCGGTATCAATATGGCCCTACAAGGATGAGCACTAGGGCAGTACCTGTTTACTCTCGAAAACGCGACGATGGCAGTGATAACGGTTGGATTTCCACTTTCACACAAGTATTACCTTTGTAATCTCTTGCGGATGGTAATAAATTAAATTATACCAACTATAAATTATCTTTTTTGTTTGTTTCAGAGTGTGTACGGTTTTATCCGGAGCAGCTGTTGGACTAATTCTGCTTGGATTCTTTTTCTCCCTGATGGGACACTGCATTGGTGACAATAAGACGCTTATTGCTAGTGGGTTGTATATATTAGGAGGTAAGTAGCGACATCTAGTGCGATTTTATGAATAATTTGTTACAGAAATAGAAGTGGCAGAGAAAGATGACACTTTCAATTAGATTTGAAATAAAGCAACAAAAGCAAGCGTACAATGCGCCTCATTTGAATGTCAATGAAAATTAAATTATTTGTTTGCCGAACGATCCGAACACAACGAAATAAAAGCGTCAATTTATTTCTGTCGCGATGAACAATCACACGTCGCGCCCTAACACCTCCCACTTACTCTTATTATCTCTCGTCTGCTTCATCTTCATCTTCGTTTCTGCCGCGGACAAAGTAAGACAAAAGTAATTGACGCGCAGCGCTAATAAACTTTCGTCATTTTTATTATTCCTTTGAAATCACGCAACAAAACATCATCTTTACAATCTTGTTAATTTATTTTTTGTTTGCCAAGCCTTCGAAAAATTAAACGCAAAGTTTAAAAGTCAAAGTTTCTTTTCTCGTGTACACAGCGACGCGAAATGATTAAGACCCCTGAAGACTGACTGGCGGTGCAAACAAAAAGATTTTTTTTTTGCTTCTACATCATTGCCATTATCATCATCGTGTTATTTTTTTCTTTTTGTTTTGTTTGCTGGCGGAGTGTCGTCCGTTTGTATTTACACTACCGAAGACAACTGGGCCTAGGGGATTGAGTGACGCTGAATATAATCACTCATTACAAGCGTTCGTTTTTAATTAATGATAGCGAATTAATTAAATTCTTTCGTTGGCTGCAAACAAAAGTCGCCGGCACGACTTTGATTTACGCGAAAGAATACAAGCGGCGGCGACAAAATGGAAATCTGCAATTTGTAAACGAGATTTTCTTGATTTCGCGGGGGATGCGCGCGTTTTATTTCGAATAGTATTATTCATCCGACGCGCCCCGAATTGTATGCGCTTACATTATCTTTTCGTGTCGTTGAAATTACAATTGAAAAGGAAACAAAGCACAAAAAGAAAATAATATAAATTTTTATTCCGGTATAAATTTCAATTGGAATCATTTTATTTAATCAAGTTAAATGTTTGTATATTAAAATAAAATTCAACGTTTTATTACGTTAATAAATAATATATTATTATTTCTTTTGTGTGCTAGTGCCCTTATGTTGTATTGTATAATTATAATGTTTATTCTGAACAATAAAATAGATATTTGTGTACAATTTCCGATCGTAATTAAATTAATTTCAATTCCAATTTCAACAGACCGCGTGTTTTTAATTACAATTGCCTGTTGCGCGTTTATGCTGCGGTAACACTTCAGCTTCTCTCCGCACTCGCAAATCCATCATTATTTATTTAATAAATTTGCCAAGATAAACGTCAACACACCACTCTACTCCTGCTGCAGCCGCGACGCGTGCAAAGCAAACAAACAGCGCGCTCGTCCCGGCCAGTCAGTTCCCCGGTTTTCCGCCGCTGTAAACACATGCAAAACGTTCGCACAGGTAAACGCAAAGAAGGCACACGAGCTTTCGCACGTCAATTCTCCAACTCACGGCTTTATCGTCTGACGGCTCGCGCCGCCGCTTTAATTAAATCGAAATCCGGCTCCCAATGCGCGTTTAATAAATCAAGGTGCGCCGTCGCATATTGACGTCGAAGGGCCGAAAAGTCTTAGGCACACCTCAGTGCGCGTCTTAGCAGAATCTTTGCGTTAACAATTTCCACCCTGGTTTTACTCTCGCACTTCTCGTATTTTATACAAAAAAAAAATAAAGTGTAAAATACAAGTTATACAGCAGAGAGTAGAGAAAACGTCCGGATAAAACGTGTACACGTTAACATGCAGAGGGAGACGTTTGAACACCGCGTGTGAAAAGCGTGGAAAATCCTTTCGGTAATCCAACATCTAGGCGTGCTACTCGTATATTCCTAGCGAATCTAACCGTACATAACACATACAATGTGTTAAATTATTTAAAAGAAAATATATTAAATGTGGAAAATAAAATTTTTACGTTTTATGAAAAGTTTAATACTTTCCAGAGTAAAAATACGAGAAAAGTGTGTGTTGAGAGAATTACGCAGGTCTTTACTACAGTCTTAAGCCTACTTATCAAACGCGTGACACGATTGAGACCCTGAAGAGTGCGAGTTCTTGCCTGTTTCCACCTCGAAAATGAACAAAAGCATTCCTAGTCGCCGCCTCGACGGAATTATAGTTATACGCTAAATGCGAATGTTTTAAGCGGGGATTTATTTTGTTTCAACGAACGTCCTCGTGATATTAAGTTGCTTCGAGGGGCATTAGCAACGCCACTACCTGCTCGCATCCTTTGGAACCAAGGGGAGTAATCTGCTCGTTCATCATTAGTCGAAATCTGCGTTTAATTAGGGCGCATTGGTTGAAAAGTTTTAATTTAAAAATTTAAATCTCTGAATTTAAATTTTTTACTTTAAATTTTATAGTGTATTAAATTGATACGAAAATTGTCACCTCGTTATGCAATAATACAACTTAAATATCAGTTTCGCGCTAACTACCGCGTTTCGGGTGGATGCGGTTTGGCTCGTCGACGGACCGTCAGGTGAAATATACAAGCGCGCCGGCACGCTTCGATGCACACCACACCAACGCGCCAGGTGGCGAACGTGAAAAGCGGAAAATTGTTTTGTTTTCCGACTCGTGCGCCTTCATTTACATTTCGCAGCATGATTGCGCCATTAACCTTATCAAATAACTCGGCCTCGCACAGTTAAAGCACCTAGAAACTAGAAAACCGGCAAACCACATTTGGCGTGCTGTTGCTGAACGTTGAGTGCGCTTTTTAAACTCACTGTATTTTCATTTATGCGGCGGCGGTCGCGCCACACTCGGAAATGTGCATTTTATGCACTTGCAGTTTCTCGCAAAAACAAAAACCAACACCGCCCCCGTCCCCGGCAAACAATTCTGAGCTATTAAGCCATTTAACTGATTGTTCAGGCCCGCTCCGGAAAAACCACACAGCCGAATGCGAATGAAATGAAAAGCGCGCGGCGCGCATTTTACGAGCGCGTTTTCAAGCTGTTTGTGCGCTGACAAGTGCTCCACCGGCATTATAAACTATTAACAATACTTTTTAAAGCTGCACGGAGTCGGTATTTCAATAAACATCGTTTGCATTCATCGTCTGATGCTTTGAAGTCAACTGCAGGCGCGCGCCGTTTTTCCGCGCAGCAGGTGCGGAACAATTATTTGCAAATGGCATGCTTAGCAAGCGCGCGCGTTATTAAGAAGGAATTCTCGCTAAGAATAGGGAAAGTACGAACGGCGCGCATGCGTACCACATGTCGAGCATGATTGGGGAACAGCGCGCGCGTGTGGAAAAGCTGTTGCGTTCGAAATTGCGCTGGGAATGACTTCGAAATGACTTTAAACTGATTTATGACTATGGGCTGCCGCCAAAAAGCGTCGGTTTTCCACATTTCCACCACATTTTCACTTTGAAGAGGGCGCAAATTGTTTCGATCTTGCTAAACTTTCAAAACCATTTTTACGATTTGGTCATAATTTAATTTAAACCATTTCTTTCATTATCACATCGTAATATTTAACAAATGCAGATAAAATTATTTACTTTCTTTGCCAGTGTGTTAAAAACCGCAAATCATACTTCCCCTTCTAACATAACTAATTACTCACTCAACTACGTTCCACGGTAAGTACCCCCACCACTTTTTGCGGGTAGACCGCAGAAATAAAAGGCAGCGCACAGCGGCAACACTACTCACTACTTCTACACTACTACACTACTTCTCTTCCGCCGCTGCGCGCCCTCTAGAGTTCAAATATTGAAGCTTTAATTTAAGATTCTTTCGAATAATATATTATTACTTCAACTTTTAATATCCCAAGCGTGAAAAGTTTGTAAACATCGTTAAAATTCCTTGATTATATTTGTGCTGCTCACACAAATAAATCATAAACAACTAAATATATAAAAAAAAGTCCCAATGTGAAAATAAATGAACACTTGAAGTCGCGCACGGTGAAAAAAAAAAAACTAAAACTTCATAATGATCCTTGTCTTAATTGCAGCACACCTCATGAATTTTTAGCGAAACGCTGAAACTAATCTGGCCCCAGTCATCTCGCTCATCTCGCATCCCCAACCAGCAAACATATCCTGCACCTCCAACTGCGCGCCGTGTCGAGTTTCTTTTTTTCCTTCGTATTATCTCTTTACATGGCTTGGCTTGGCTTGGGCAGCCGTGCGCGAGCAGAGCGAAAACAAACAAAAACCTTAACGGCGAAGAACGGGCGCCATTATCATTCATTCTTTCGGTGCGAAAATTATCATGCGCGACAGGAATTTCATCCGCGTTTTATTTCATGAATAAGGAGGAGAGCAGGGCTCATTTGCATGCGCGCGCCCGCCGCCATTTTGCATCATGTTTATATAAAAGTGCGCTGTGCCACTCGCGCTGACGTTTTCCGTTCCGTCTCGTTTCGTGCGCGTGTTTTGCTTTGTTTGCGCGAGACACTGGATGTTGCTTTTTTTGTTACCCTGCCATTTGCAATTAAACACAATAGTCCCACACTCTCACATGGATCATGAGTTTAAATTTTGTTTTAAATCACATTGATCGAAATAGTAAAATGTTTTTATTTTATTTCCAGCATTGCTGCTTGGAGCTGGGCTAATGGCTTTCGCCTCAGTGCTCTCAGAGACCGTCACCGAGGCGACCCAGTATCACCGAGAGTCGCCAACGGGCCCAACGTACGATTATCGCTACGGATGGTGCTTCTTCACCGCCGGCGCCGCGTTCATAATGAGCAAGATGGCGGCGGTCTTCTCGCTTTCCGGCTATCTCAATAGGTTCGCCTCCGTCGACGAAATGGTAAGCACTCAGACGAGAACACACATTCCACTACAACGCACTTCCTCCACTATCAAAACAAAATGTGTGATACCCCACATTGAGAATCAAGCATGTTAAAGGGAATAGCAGCAAGAATCACGAAGAGAGTGGCTTGTACTGTACTTGAACATCTCGCTGAAGAGAGAGTAAAGGGTAGCACAAGCAAGGGAGCTTTCCTTTTGAGCGCATTACAGCCTATATTCTGCTGCCTCCTTGATTGATAAAGTGGACGCGCGCGCGCCTCTTCAAAGGTCACGCCCTTTGCGAGCCCTTTCGCGACGTTCGCAAATTTGCGCGCAGCAAATTTAATTAAACGTAAATCTTTGATGTGCTCTACTTCCAAAATTGGCCCAGTGATGCATCTTTACGCAAAACAAAAATCATTTTGCTTCATAATATTGTTATGACTAATTCCTCCATCAAGGTTGCTGTAAGCATCACTTTGTCCACACTATCCCACACTAATGATTGCCCATGATCATCATCATCATCATCATTCGATGCGGGATTCAATTCAAATTCGAATTAAATTCGGGTACGCTCGGCGCGTCTTCACGAATAAGGAGGGTCGTTAGAATTTAATATAAGCCATTAGTGCTTGAGCATTATATACTCTCGCTCGTCTTGGACCGCGGAAACCTGTTGTCGGAATTAGGAAATCCACCACGATGCCCGATGAAATATGAAACGATAATTGAATATCCGCATTAATCAATCAATACGATCGTCGCTAGTCTTTCGTCGCGTCGGGTTCTCTCGCATACGAAAACTACTTTAACGGCGCGCTCGGCACTCACCCAATCAACCAATCATCTGCACTAATACACAGTCGATATCCAGCGTCGTATGAATTTGGTCGGGTTGGAGAGGGTTGGCGCTGGAGCTGAAGGGCGAAGAGTGGCGAGTGCTGAGAGTGGATACGCTCCTAATATTCTCCAGCATACATTGAGACATTGGGTCCTTGCTTCCCGATTAAAGACCAATACCAATCCCAGTTGTAATATGTGTTGGCGTCAATACAAGACCAACTTTAAAGACAGTCTGTTCAAATTAGTTTCTTCAGCAGCTCATTAAAATGATATTTTTTTCGATTTTTGATTAATATCAATTTTTATCAAGTCAAGAAAGAGTTTTGAGGAAAATTTTACCAGGGGATGAATTTTCTGGTTATTAATGGATTATTGGAGGATCCTATAGTTTTGCTCTGCACTAATTATTGGCCAAGCCGAGAGGTCGAACCGGCTCTCCGGCGATTTATGTAATATGACGCTGTCGCTGATGTTGGAAAGGACTCCCATTGATAGCCGAGGAGTTTGATGTACATGCACTCTACGCCCACATACACATCATCCAGCCAGCAAGTCCGCAGAGGGGTTTAACATTGTTATCACAAGTTCCGACTCTCTCGCGCTGACCACCGCGTCGCTTTGGTTCGCCACAATCGATGCCAGATGTCCAATGTCCAATTTCTAATGTCCTGCGTCCGGACGCGTTAACCTAGCCCTTAGAACTTGAATTTCTAGCTGTCTCCAACATTATAATGTTGTATTCAAGATTGTTATCCATTATAATCACCATCTATTATTACCCACTAACACTGATCTTATTGATCTGCAGGTGCGTGTGATGGTTCCGGGCGCTGACCGAAAACTGCGTGAACATCATCGCTTAGAAGCAGAATTCATCGAGAGACATCAGCGTCACCATCGTCATCACCACATGGGACCATCAACACGTCCACAGTACGATGCTCTGTGCACCAAAGAACATTCCGGGTCGTATAATAAATATGAACCGGAATGTGGGCCACTGCTTAATAAGACTCCACCGGATGTGTGTACCATGAACAAGAGCATGGAGTTCCCACAACCTCATGGTGTACCTGGATGTATTGACATTGACTGTACCCTTCTACCACCTGATCCCAATATGATTAGTATGGGTATGCCCATGGGTATAGGCATGCAGACCTCTCCTAGTATGGGTGGAGGAGTTGGAAGTGGTGGGGGTAGTCATCTACAATCCGGGGCATTAGCAGGTCAAACTGTACCGATTCAGATCAAAAGCAACCATCATCCACATGCAGTGACACCTGAAGGTCAACCAGGATTACTAATGTATGCAGGAGGGGTACCCCCACCTGCAAATTTCGCCAATACGAATAAATATGGTACTATGCCACATCAAGGAGGTTTTCACGGTATACCAGCAGCAGAGATTGCTAATAGTGGTGCAACCATCAACACCTGCACTGGACCTAACACTAGCTATTGCAAAAGCAACACTCTGCAGCACCCACGCGGGAGGAAAAAGTGCGTAAAGATCGAAACGTTCCATCCGTCTGAAACAGGCTTTGCGGATTTCACTCTCAAGCGAACGCCCGGATCCGGCGCGGCAGCCGCCGCCAACTATTCCGGCAGCGCCGTATGACACGAGGGTGCCGGCAAGGATGTGAAAACCGCCGGTAGTAAACCCTCCGCTAACGCAGCGCCATCTCACGGCGCGCCACGCACCAGAGTGAAATATGCCAAAGAAACTATCGAAATCGACGAGGAGAATATTTTGTTATATCCACATCTTGTTTAAACTAAACTAAAGACTAATTAAAACCAGAAAATGTTGAAAATATTTAAACTACTAAAAAAACGGAAATGACACTCTGCCAGTGATTAATTAATAATAATAAGTATTTTAATATTTGCAAATGAGGGTACGTAGAAAACATTATTATCGTTATTTGTTCGTGCGTTGCGAACGCCATCTAACTCATCATATCGTAAACATATAAAAAAATAACTAAATAACTAAAGAAAAAAAAAGCCACATCGTAAATGTTTATACCTAATTGAATGTAAAAAGATTTCGTTATCTATAAACGCCATTAATCGACTAATCGAAACACGAATGCTAAATACTCATTAATAATAACGTAACAAATACAAAACGCGCCGACAGGCGTGCGCTCGTGCGCGAATTTCGTAATTACTTTGTAATTGCTGTGATAAAGTAATTTTATTCATTATAAAATGATAAAATATGAAATAACATAGTCGAAACGCGGTGAAAATGGCATGGCTATCGGTATCAGTATGATGTTTCAAATATATTATTCAATATATTATTAACATACACAGAAAATCCCCGACAAAAATGAATTCATATAGCGCGCATCAAATTACCAATGTTTAATAAATTCTATTTGTTAATAAAATGTAACTTATGTTGTAGTTAACACCCAGTGTGTGTGCAGATATGCCGAATGTTTTTGTTAAACCGAAAAGCGAATAAAAAAAACAACACGAAATACAAACATAAATTCGCAGATTGCGCCCTCACCCCGCCTGCACGAACCATCTCGCAATGATTTGTATGTAAACTGTAAACGTTTCATTGCAGGAGTGTGATGCGCCCGCATTTAAAACCTCGAGACTGTCACACGCCGCCGCCGCCACCGCCGCCCGAAATTTACTATTGTTTTCCAGCGATATTTCGCTAGCGCGTGGTCCGTAGAATGTACAAACATAATTTTAATCTGTCCATAAAATTTATTAGGTCGCCCCGACTGTATTGTGCCGGCTGGCGCAGCATTGCCTCTCGTCTTCTATCGTTCCATGTTTCCAGCCCCCGCCGGCATCCGTAGAATTTCTAGAGCATGCACGGGACGGACGCGAGAAGAATGGGCACGAAAACGACTACGACGCCCCGGCGACTGACTCACCAACGAGTTTTATACCTATTTTGGTTTATTGCTGTGCGCGCGTTCGTTTTACCGCAAAGTTTGCACAGCTTCGCTCCGATTTATTGCTGATTTAATCGCGCTGATGTTTGAGAGGTGCATTTGTGACGATGTCGAATGAAGTGATAAACAACGCCATCAACCAGCTATAGATACACACATTGCCATAATCAGCAACTATACATTTTATACCTATACTTTTCCAGAATAGAGGTTATGTTTGTTTTTCGGATGGTATGCAACCAAAACAGCATATTTTCAACGTCTACCTCTGGTGAGTAAACAAGTAACCTTTTTTGCTGTGTGGAAATACTAATTATCTTTTACGGCGCGGGTGGGATTTTGAAGAGCGCGGATTTTATTGTAAGTGGCAGCCGTGACAGGCTTGGAAAAGCATAACATAATCAAATAAAGAACAAACTTTGAAACTTTCGGAACTCTGCACAGCTCCGCGCATAGTTTCTCCTCTCAGCCAGCTGACTTTTCTGACCAAAGAAGTTTGCATCTTCCAGTCCTTCGGATGATAAATAGCACGACGTAAGACCACAGAGAGTCTCTTCTCTTTTCCTCTTGCGCCAAACACGCAGAAACTGGTAATTAAAACAAATGAGTAAAGCGCGAACGGCAAACTGCAAAGGATGCTACGGCGTGCGTAGTTAATGCTGACCGGGGTTGACGAGGGACCGGAATTTTGTGACCTGTACAAACTTTCCAAAAGCAAAATAATACCGTAATTCCCCCAATATGGTGGTCGCAGTAGGGATGTGATGTTTTGTGTTGTGTAGTACTTTTTTAATCTTACATAAAGTTAATTAAAAATCGGGCGTGTTTAAGGTGAGTGGATGCTTTTTATTTCATTAAAAAAATATCCAACGAGCTTTTCAATCATGTCCGCCGGAGCTGTTCCGTTCATTCTTGTACATATTTGATTTGTTCGGCAAACAAAAGTCCAAGTTTCAATCCCCGAGTGTCTCGCGGTGGAAAATTTATTAAGCCCTTCACATTTTTTAATTACATTGAAGTGGTATATTTTTAAAATTCTTTTTAGTGTTATTACTGCCATCTATGGACAAAAATAACTACTATTTCTTAAATTTTTACTATTTTTGTAGGAAAAATGTGCAGGTAAAAATTTGTTTTGCATTTATTTATTTATATTAATGCTTTTTGCTCTTTTGGGAGGTCGCGGATATATCTAGCCATATATCTAGCCGAAAGTTGTGTAAATAAATTTCCTTTGGGGATGATAAGTAACAAAAACGAGCGCGTTCGGCATCGCAGCTCGCCGAAATTCTATGACGCAATGTTACATTAGAGATTCGCACACGTTTTCTACGATATACAACTGCACACACGCCCACACACGTGGCGTGGAAGCGGCGCGGCTTTGAATCATTTATATCGCCGCTTTGAGAGCCTCCGAAGTGAGAAAAGTTATGCTGTTAAGTCAATACCGTGAGTGATTATGTTAGCACCGAAAAAGAACTGCGAAACCCTTACGGAGAAAATAAAATTTACACTTTTTCAACATCAAGAAGAACAACAACGAACAAAAAACTTAAAATTCAAAACTTCCGCAAAGAAAAAAAACTGCAATGGCTCAATTTGCCAACAACTTATTTTTCCAACGTCGACAGAATAAGAGAGATAAACGGGCTCACATATAGACACACACGAGTACTAAAGTTCGAGGACTAAAAGTGATTAATAATACGCTATCATGATGCCAGGTAATTCCCACCGATATTGCGGAAACCCGACAGTCGGAAGAGTAAAGAGAGTCAAGTGTTATCGAACGCCAATGAGTGAACGCACGATCCGAGCAAAACGAGGCAGTAAGTGAGCTGCCTGGTTAGAAGCTAGACAGATAGACAGTATTTTCCATTCGTCGGCGCATGCTATCGATATTTATGTTTCACAATTCGTATAATATCACATCGCAGTGCATATTTCGTAATAATCAAGTTCTGGAATTATATTCGTGTCTAAGATGGGTGAATATGTCCTAATTAATTCCGAACCCTCCAGTCTATGAGAAATTCATAAGTTCGGTCAAATTTGCGGTAAATCCTCAAGATGCAGGCGGTATTAATTTCGGAAGATTTAAGCACTTCCGGAATCAAAGTGTCACACATCCAAAAATAAATATTAATAAATACAAGAAGAATAAATGAATAAAAATACATATTTTGTATTTTATCTGTAATGTTTTTCATTCTCTGGAGAATAAAACACTCGATTATCTATTGTAGTGGCTCGTATTGTGCACGCGTTCGTAAACTTGATAAACGTATGCTAATAACGGTGATCAAATTTATGCCCCCGCGTCCTACAAGTTTATGTAGTTTGCGACACAAGCAACAAACCACCTCTTCTACTGCTGCTTGGGCGTTTTCGCCATCTCGTTTCTTATTTTCGCCTCTCATCGCGCCATTTACAATTTCCTCACTCCTCCGCGCTCGCACACCCAACTTCGGTCGATTGCGCGGCCTATATTCACCCTCGACACTACCCACTCACTTTAAAAGTACAAAGTGCAAAAGTTTCCAACGAAAATTCCAACATTCTTCCCCTGCTATCGGCGAGGCGCGGTGAGAAAGCAGCTCACACTCTTTTAGACTTTAACACTTTGCACATTCGGGGCCAAGTTTTACTTTATTCTTTCTGTTTGCATATTTACTGTTCATTTGCTCGTCGCGCGGCGCAAGATTGAAAAGTACTCCAGCGCAGGGAAGTTCAGCGCAAAGGGGTATTAACCGAACGGTTATAATACCTACTCTTTTAAGCAAGTTGAAGGACGCCGCCAACTTTTCAGGCGTGCGTTCGAAAAATAAAACAAAAAAGTGTAGCACAAACTTTTTACGCCTTTCAGTGTTAACGAGCGTAATGGAAAATTCTTAATTTAACATCTTGATACGCACAAGACGCCCCGGGGCGCATATTTGATAGGATTTAATTTTATTATATTGCAGTTTTTAATTATCTCCTGCCTCGACAAAGTACTCTGCTTAATTTCAGGCACAAAGTGTAATAAATTGATAATTTAATTTTCCAGGTAAAAATCCATAAATAACAAAATTTCTTATAAATTTGATGCAATCAATCCGAAATTTGATGACATTAGCTAAACAGCATGATATAAATCATCAAGCATCACATACGACGTGCTAAACTGCTAATATTTCAAATCATTAATAATTGCTTACAGCCTCAGCGTGTCTGTGATCCTGCAATGATACCGACGACAGGTCGGATGTCGGCCGTCGACCGCCGCCGCTTGTCGGTGTGGTCGGATATCAGCGTAATGCGCGTGCCAAGTGGCCGTGCACAACAATCTACGCATCTTATCGCCGCTGACGTTGCATACTAATACCGCCAACCCAACAATCCGACAAGATCATCGTGCTTACACACTCACCTCTACATCTACCCCACCCCTCCACCCCTAAATACCTTTCTGAGGTATTTATGGGTTATCAAAGTCCAACTCCTCTAGGCGTGGACATCCCGCAGGAATACGTTCAGAAGGGAAAACGCGTTATACTCGGAAACTACTAGTTTCTGCGATTTGAGTAGGATAGAATGTGCTTCCTGCACGAAGATGGGTAAATGATAAGACCTCTCGCCGTCGGCACACGCTCTCTGTGTGTCTATAATTCTCCGCTACGCACACCTTCGCGCCGAGGCAATAAATTTGCGACTTTTGTTCGGTGTAAATTTAAGTAGAGGATTCCGGAGATAATCCTGCCGCAATACGTGCGCCTAATGTTTATGTATCTTCGGGTTTTTCTTCGCTACGCACCGAGATTCGCTCTCCGGATGCATTTAGAGATTGGCGCATGGGATCGACATTATCTGCTTGTTTATTACTTTAGAATCAAGCGCTTTGGACATTTTAAGGTTGTAAATATCCAGGAATCTCGGAGTATACAATAGTAGACTATTAAACTTACCTTAACTGTTACACCATGACCCAAACAGCTTGATATTTGATGAAAAGTCTTTGTAAATTATTACACCGTTGATTTTAAGTCGAATATTGTCTGAAATCACAAAACCAAACACGTTACACTCACGTTCAATAAAAATACACAATAAACACGTCTGATATTATCGCGAACCGAAACGCAACAAACAAAATTTCTTGCTGATAAAATAATCACCTGACAATAGTTGAAATTTTTAAGTTTTGGGGGCAGCACAAGACGATGCGAAGATTTTTACAGCAAAAATCAGAAGCGTGTGTACATATTCCCCTTCCCGTGCTGAATAATTTATTCGCGCGAATGGAATAACCCGTACTTCTCAGCGTCCGAAAACCACTATGAACCACTCGATTCAAACCGTCGCTTAAGCTTACCGTGCTAATATATCTTCCGCGTAACTATCGCTCCGCTCTAAATCATTAATTCCCCGGCCGTAAAATGCGCAAAATAATTTATAACATTTAGTTTATCGATTCGGCGCAGCGGCCGCGCAATAAAGTAAACTTTATGCACTTCACTCTAAATTAATTGGTTTTAAATTAATCAATTATAGACGCACCGCACCGCCATCGTTTACAAAATGACTGCGATTTTACGAAGTATGCGCGCGGATTATAATTAATTAAACTGGCAAATACCCGAGCGCTCGCCGAAGATTTATGTTACGACGACTAGGTTAATGGTAATAAACTTAGAGTAAATAACGATGTTGATATTGCAATTACCTTTCGTTTATTGAAGTTTTGTTGCAGTTTCGTGTGCAGCACTTTACAGCTTTTTAGAAGTTTAGAAAATGATGCTGTTCCCATGATGCACTGCTAGGGAATTATGGGTAATAAAGCGTTGTTTTTGGATAGGCAACAACATTTGTTTTGCACATTGTCTGTAGGCAACCCAAAATACACATCTTGCCTAACCTTAGTAAGTTTACATCTTTCGAAAAGTTTTTGAATTTATCTCCGTGATAAAACACTAATTAACAAGATATATTAATAACAAACGAGTGAAAATGTTTGGTCCAGCTGTGGCAGTTACTCTACTGTCCATACCACCGTTATTACTCATTAAATACCTCAATTATAAGTCAAACAAGCTCTCAAATACATTACAACAAGAAGTGAACAAAGACCAATTTAAATATATGTTTGTAACGCATAAAAACCGCCTGTGCTCGCCACATTTAAACACAAGACTGATCTGTGGTACAAATTGTTCCTACCTGTACTTGAAGAACATCCTCAATCTGATCAACCAAGCTCAAGAATCTGTTTGTGTTGCCATGTATCATCTTTCTCTGGATGATATTTATCATGCAATTTTGAATGCTCACAATAGAGGTGTTCATGTGAGAGTAATTGCTGATCTAGTCATGCTCACAACCTTTGGAAACAGAGTTAATAAACTCTTTAGCAAAGGTAACTAAAATAGATATAAAACAGTTAAATTTTTAAGTAATTAATGAATATTTCTGTTAGATGTACCTGCAAAAGCGCCCAAAATAAGATTTGGATTGATGCACCACAAGTTCATGTTGATTGATCAGAAGAATGCAACAAATGCCAAGGTTTTGTATGGTTCTTTGAACTATACTGTCAACGCGCTTATTAATAACTGGGAGTTTGTCTTGTTGACAAACAGTGCTCATATTGTAAAAAGATTCAGTGATGAGTTTGAATTTCTGTGGGACAATGAGAATTTCGCTTATTTAGGCACAAGTAATGTTGAAATTCAAGATGCTTCTAGTACTGAAGTGTAATATAGGCAGCCCAGAATACAGTATGGTCGTTATTTCCAAAAACATTACAAGTTCAACATTAAAAATATAGGAATCTCAAAAAGGTGTAAGATTCAATCAAATCCAGTTGATAAACTTCATCATTTCATAATCGCTTAGAGAATTATTTAAAATGTACCTCTTACGCTAGCGCCACTAATCATCATTCTTCAATATCCAGCCCATCTAGTTCTTCATCCAGCCCGTCAAGATCTTCTTCGGTGAAAAGGTTCTCGTTGATGGGCACAGCCGCCGCCTCGTCGATGCCATTCTCCTCGGGTGGTTTTTTCAGTCGGTCTTCGGCTGCCACTGTGCCTGTACCGTCCGCTTCCGTCGCTTCCAACCCAATCATATCGAAGTTTAATTCCTTGTATTCAATCTCTTCGCTGTCTTCATCGTCGTTCGTGTATGCGGCAGCATCAAAGGCTTCGTCACCGTCATCCATGTCGTTGTCCACAGCCAGTTCAGGATTGAAGCTGAACATTTCTCGTCCGGACAGACCGACTTGTCTACCTGCCTTGTAATCCTGCCGTTTTTTCTCTTCATCCTTGATAAGGTTATCTTTCTTTTCTTGGATTTTACGTTTTTTCCACGCGATGAATGTTTCCAGCGTGACGCGGGTTTGTTTCGGACCAAGCGCCGCACGCTCCTTTTCGATGAGGTCTTCAAGGGAGATTTTCTCCTTCAAATCTTCTGCTTTTTTCTTGTCCTTTTCAGAACAAAACCTGGTGGGAGAGCGTGTCGGTATATGCAGTTTCCACCCGAGGGGCATGACCAGAACCATCCGTATTTCGATTTTTCGACTGCTTCCAGGAAATGTTTGCAGATCTACATTAAAAAATTTCAAAATTAAACATGAATATCAATTTATGAAGTAATCCTGGTGATACTAACAATATCTGTTGTTGGTTTCTTCTTTTCTTGCCCATGCTTCTTCTCAATAACTTCCAAGAGTTTCTCTTCTGTCCAGTCTTCCATAGTGTCCTTCTCCTTTTCGTCGTCATCTCGCATATCAACGTAGAGTGATCGTTTCTCAGCTTTACGTTCGATTGTCAAATCGTGCGAGAATTTACATTTATCACCTTTTGTACATTGTCCCTGTTTGAAGAATGCACAGAGAATTGTTTTTGGATCAGCACCTGTAATAAAAATGTAGGAAATATAATAATAATAAAGAAAAACAGTTTTCTATAAAAATTTCTAACTTTTCATTTACCTTTTGCAACTTTCTGAGTCTGCACTGGTTTGAACAAGGCAGCCAACTCTTTCTGCTCCTTGAGCTTCTCCTCCTTCTCAAGCTTCTTTTTGTTAACACCATCTGCAGCCAGTGGATGATGACCTCCAGTCTTCACCTGTTTCTCCACTTGTTGTATGAACTTTTGCTGCTTGGAACCCTTCTTGTTCTTAAGACCAAATGTTTTGTCCTACAATGCAAAATTTATAAATTTATAGGGTGTTATAATGGTGTGTGATTTCACATGGTGATTAATGTTGATGTTGATAAAAGTTGATGATTTAAACAGGAATGAGGTTAGATGAATAGTCACTCACTTCGATCACTTTTTCCTTCTTCTTGATCTCGGTCTTTTTACTGGCGGCGGCCGGAGCTTTCTTCGGTGGCATCTTGTGCGTTAATTGACAAACTTAATTTTGAATTATTGGTGATTGTTGGTTAATTGTAAGCGTTTAAAATCGCACATGCAATTTTGAGCGACCATACGTATGCGGCATGCCCATATGTGCTCATTGATTTAGATTACTGACGATGGGGGCGCCACAATGCAGAGGACTAAAAAGTCGCCTACACGCTAGGCAAACTAAAACACAATCAATTTCTAAAATGTATTTATTAGCTATTAGGTATATTGTATTTCAATGTATTTATTAAAAAAACTCTGATGATGCCCACAGGGCGAAACATGTAAAACTCGCATACAAAATTGTAAGATCCAAGAAAATCACAAAATTATTTTAATAAATACATTTTATAAACCACGGATTACGTATTCAACTTAGAAAATAATAAAACAATCAATTTCTTTGAAAAAACGTTGATTTCGAACGTGAAAATATATTTATAATTTTCTTTTTATCCGTAGCAAAGCTCTATTAATCGAAGTACTAAAATCCTCATTTCCAATTAGATTAATTCAATAATTCTTTGATTACTTTTTCAAATCAGGAATATTATCAATTTAAAATAAGTAATTTGATATCTTAAATATTAGAATGTAAAAACGTTAAAACTTGGGAGTTCATTTCGTTACTTGTATGATTTTCATTCATTTTCATCTTAATTATTGAATATTTCTATGAAGATTTTGACATTCAGTTAATTCAGCAAAATTCTGAAAATAGGAAAGTACCAACGCGTCAAATAATATAAAAAGTCGAAGTTCTTTTTAATCATTTATTTCAGGTTAAGGAGACGGAACATTTTCTGAAAAAAAGAAAAATCACAATAAATTAACTAGATACTTAATTCGACAAAAGCAGTTTTGACTGATTATTATCAGTTTTAAAGAATATAATCAAAGGTGATCATTGCGTATATTAATACCATCATAAGTATTCGTAATTCAAATTTGAAAGTGTATAATAAATTACCATTAATGAAAGCCCCAGAAGTAATTTTCCTGGTTTCTTCAACTTTGATTTCCCGGTTAAACCTAAACAAATCAAAATTTATATTGCAAGATTATTAGACGAATGAAATTATACGTAAATAATTTTATTTAGAATTTATCAGTGAGGGTAAGTAGGTAATCATGAGCGTATTGTTCATAATAGCGTATATATTGAATCATCACTTGCAGTTTTTTACATATAATTTCAAATTGAATAAACATGAATTTCGTAAATTACCTGAAATATGGCAGACTACATCAGTGTCTTCCAGAGTTGTATAATTCTAGAAAAGAAAGAGAATCAAATTAGATTTTGTGATACATTTAAAGAAATAAGAAGGATGTTTTATTTTAAAGTCAGGGAAAAAATGCAGCCAGCATTAGTATTATCATTACGATCAAACGGTAATTAGTCTCATCATTTTAATGTATTTAAGCTTGTTCGGCGTTAATAATTATTACTTACATTAGAAACAGCAGCATTCGAAAGAGATGCCCTTCCACAAATCATTAGGTAATCTGTAAATGAACACAACAAATTAATAATTATGAAATCAAATTTTAAAAAAACAGTTATGTTAAAAATACGTCAGGAAAAAATGCAGCCAGCAATAGTATTATCATTACTATCAAACGGTAATTAGTCTCATCATTTGAATATAATCAAGCTTGTTCGACGTTAATTATTATTATTACTTACATTAGAAACAGCAGCATTCAGAAGAGATGCGACTCCACAAATCACTAGGTAATCTGTAAATAAACACAACATAATTAATTGTGAAATCAAATTTAAAAAAACAGTTATGTTAAAAATACGTCAGGAAAAATGCAGCCAGCAATAGTATTATCATTACTATCAAACGGTAATTAGTCTCATCATTTGAATATATTTAAAATTACTAGACGTTTATTATTATTACTTACATCAGAAACCGGGCTGTCCCATTGAAAATAGTTGTTGATCCATAATATGGCAATCTGTAAATCAAATAAAAAGACATGATTAATTGCTGAATCAAAAACACATTGCTTTTGGAGTTTTTGTAGTGAATTTCAGTAATCAAGGTCTCATCAATTATTTTATGACAGGGATAACTGATTAAAGCAGATCATCATAATAAAAAATTAATTAGAACTAATAATGAATTGTACATACCTTGCTTTAATATGTCGCCTTCGACTATGTAACTCTTCAGAAACATCTGCAAAAACAAAACCTTATATTAGTTTTCTTGCAACAAAACGCTAGGAAACAATCATGATGATATTATATTGTTGTCAGATTAAAGTATCAACATAATTGTTTTGACATATACTTGTCTCAAAAAAATATATTCATCATGAACAAAGAACTATTTAATTTAATTATTAACTAGAAACAAATTATTTACCTCAATATTGCCAAAATAATGATCCTCTCCAAGATAGACGTCGAACTCCCTGCAAAAACCAAAGTTTTAATTAACAATTTAGAATGGAACATACAGAAGACAAAGAATTGAAAAGTTTCAGAATGAAGCAAATCATGGCATTTCAGATAGACTGGAGCTGATGATATTCATCATTATAATATAAACTACTAAATTAAAATAAAAATATATTTATGAATTATTACCTTTCAGAAACTGGCAGTAGAAATCGACGTCCAAGGAATTTCCTTAGAATTGAATTCCTGTAATTTCATTTTCAATTAGTTACTGAGTTTAGATTTCCAATATGAAATTTTACAACTTGTTTGGAGAAAATGTGACCAAGTTTGTTGGCACAGCAATATGCATGAATAACATCTGCTGCTTCCTAAATGGTTACTTAATCTACCCCTAGTTATATTTTCTGGCACTCTAAGGAACCAGAAGCGATTCTCTTGAGCGTGGCTTCGGGGCATATTAACAAATATAATTAAAATATATAAATATAATAAATGCTGTACCATTTAAGTAGATGGCCTCCTCAAGGTTTGTCCAAGAATTTGATTGATACATCTCCTGTAACAAAACAGAATTCATGTTAATTCATCCGAAACAGAAATCTTGATTTTTAAAATGTTACCAAGTTTGTGTGGCACAATGTGTATACATATTACAGATTGCTTCCTAAATGGTATTTAGTCTGCCCCTTGTAATAAATTACTGGCACTCTAAGAAATCTATAGGATTTGCTTGAGCGTGGCTTGGGGGCGCGTGCTTTACAAATTAAAGTTTATTTAACTTACCAGCAACTTGGCAAAGTCTTCCAAAGTTTGTCATCACCTTGATTTGAGGCATATCTGTAAGTAAAACATAAAAATGAATATCTTTGCAATAAAAGCTGCAAAATTAAAGAAAAAAAATAATAAATAATCAGTAACAACATCATAAACCGAATCCACATATCTCCTTTCAGACTGGGGCGGTAAACAATCATCATTTAAATTAGTTGCCATACATTTAGTAAATCTACTTACCATTAATTACATTTATATCTCAACATCATTGCTCTTCATTGCATGATTTCCAAAAATAAAAATCGAATCACCGACCGATACTGTTCTTTTCCATTTTTTCCATCTTTCCTTGTAGAAACAATACGCCATGATCAAGCAACAAGGTAACTGCAAAGAATTATATTTATTAACACAGGCATATAAATTAATTAACTAATAAGAGCGTTTAACTTTAGATAAACACAATCATCACCAAAATACTACTGCAAAATTGTTAGTGCATGTGAGCAATGCGTGCAAAGTTAAAGAAAAAAGAATTTAGATTTAAATACCTTCAAGACAGAAACGAAGTTCTCGCCAACATGTGCTTTCTTAACCTAAAACCAAGAAGGCGGTTAGCACACGAACAAAATGAAAAAGCATTACTATATTTGACTATTGAACGTTTCAGTCTTTCCGATATATAATATAATCATAAGATCATACGAACGAGACTAATAAATCATCATTAGTAAATAATAAATTGCTTATTGAAGCTTCTGTTGTTTAATGAAATTAAAAACACTTCACAGAAAAATATCTATATCTTATGTTAATTTGAACACTACTTGAACTATTTATTGCATTGACTAAGTGTCCACAAATCGGATTGTTGAGATATGCACAGATTTATTTATAAACAAAATGCACTACCGCCAAAATAGAATGATTTGGAAATGTTAAACTTACCCAACGAATGCCGAAGAAAAAGTGATTGCTTGGTACAGTTGTCTGACAGTGGAAAGCTTGGTTGCCGGTTTCCCACTCCTGGGGTAAGAAGTGGGGATGTTTCCGGATATGTAACGGAATTTGAAATAATATGAGACAAATTTTTCAGATTATTAATGATACTATTTAATAACACAAAATAAAATACTGGCTTTTGCGATTAAATAATTATTAAAAGCCTTTTATAAACATTTTCAGGATTCTTTTCTCACCCGCATGTCAACTAAATAAAAACTGACAATATACTGACATTATAACCTTACAATCAGATCTTATATTAATTTAATCCATGCTGTTATCAAAATTTGACCAATAATCCTCAAAGAAATCGATGAAAACAGACAAGTAAAATATTATTCCTTATAACAATCTTACAAACTTTAAATTTGAATTGACACAAGTCATATTGCCAGTTAGCAAAACTAAAAGATGGCTTGCAATGAAATAATCGACGATATTGAGGATTTAATCTCAGCCCAAGATATCACTCCCAAAGAACGTTACAGCAACCGCAAGAATGTCCGCATAAAAGCAAAGAAACGCACCGACAAGGACGACTTCCCTAAGCCAGTAACAAGCAACATGCCTGGAACACAAACAATCTATGTTAAAACATGGGGCTGTGCTCACAACAACTCTGATTCTGAATACATGGCTGGCCAATTAGCTGCATATGGTTACACATTAACAGAAAACAAGAATGAAGCCGACCTCTGGCTGTTAAACAGCTGCACAGTGAAGAATCCAGCCGAAGATCACTTCAGGAATGAGATAGAATCAGGCCAACAGCAAGGCAAACACATTGTTCTAGCTGGTTGTGTTCCACAAGGTGCACCAAAGTCATCATTCATGGCTGGACTGAGTGTCATTGGTGTACAACAGATTGACAGAGTTGTAGAAGTTGTTGAGGAGACTCTAAAAGGCAATACCTGCAGAATATTAGGCATGAAAAAATCAAATGGCAAGAAAAGTGGTGGTGCATCGCTGCAACTACCAAAAGTAAGAAGGAATCCATTGATTGAGATCATTGCTATCAACACTGGCTGCTTGAATCAGTGCACATACTGTAAAACAAAACATGCCAGAGGAGATTTGGGCAGTTATCCTCCCGAGGAAATCATTGCTAGAGCAGTACAGGCGTTTGAAGAAGGCGTAGTTGAAATCTGGTTGACTTCGGAAGATACAGGAACTTATGGTCGCGATATAGGCAGCAGTTTACCTGAATTACTGTGGAAATTAGTCGAAGTGATTCCGGAGGGTTGTAGACTTCGACTAGGAATGACTAATCCTCCATATATTCTTGATTATCTTGATGAAATGGCTAAAATTATGGCGCATCCTCGTGTCTACAGCTTTTTGCATGTTCCTGTTCAGTCCGGATCTGATTCTGTCCTCGGTGATATGAAACGAGAATATTGTCGAGCTGATTTCGAACGGGTTGTGAATACTCTACAATCACAGATTGCGGGCATGACAATTGCCACTGATATTATTTGTGGCTTCCCAACTGAGACTTTGGATGATTTCGAAGAGACACTGACGCTTTGTGAGAAGTACAAGTTTCCTAGCTTGTTTATTAATCAATTTTTCCCGCGTCCTGGGACTCCAGCAGCTTTAATGCCGAGAATTCCAGCACAAGATGTGAAACTGCGCACGAGGAGACTCACTGATTTATTTAATTCCTATGAACCGTACGGGCATAAAATTGGGGAGATTCAAGAAGTCCTTGTGACTGAAACGTCGCATGATAAGAAGCATTACGTCGGGCATAATAAATTCTATGAGCAGGTGTTGGTGCCAATTGATGAAGCGTACATGGGTAAATTGGTGACTGTTAAGATTACTAGCGCTACGAAATTTTCTATGATGGGAGAGCCGATTAATGAAAAATCGGTGAAGATGCCGGGTATTAAGGAACCTTTACAGAAAGGGAAGGTTTCAGGGGTTGTTGAGGAATTAGACCAGAAAAGGGATGAGAGAACTGAGAGGCATTTGAAGTATGCGTTAATGGCGGTCGCGGTGTCATTATTGTTGCGTTTTCTTTGGTTTTTGATGTAAGATATGACTTTGTATGTAAATACATGATACATATTAAAGAAAGTATTCGTATATTACTTATAGGAGACAAAATTATTACAAAAGAAGAACCATTTTTATAATTTCTTTAATAAAAAGTGTAATTTTGCTATATGGAGCGATGTAGGCAACTTGTTCTGCACGAATTCATGCAAATTTCCTTTTCATTCACTTAGCCTCTTGTATCACAACAACTTGTGTTAATATGTTACATTTAAACTTAATTACCTAACACACAATTATCCACCATTCCATTTTAATAGGTATAAACACAATAGTAAGTATTTACCACGTGCTTCAATGTTTCTTAGCCAAACGCAAGTTGTCCACAAAAAAAAAACACCCCTAAATGCAAACCAATGAGGTTATGCGTTGTTTGGGTTGATTCCAGCAATTTCAGCATTATCGTTATTGTTTTTACGAGTTTGGTTTTCAGACTCCTCAGCATTTTAGCAAGGTAAGCAATCCTTACAGAGTATAATGTACCGCGGAAATCGAGCGCGCGGCAGGGGCCGAGCCAGCTATCACGCGCATTTTAGCAGAGATGCAAACACACACCTCTCCAGATATGAAAAGAGTCGATCACCACACTATACTGTAAGCAGAAGACCAAGAAGCAGATCACCACCCATTGAGGATATAAGAGAACACCGACGTGAACGGCACTGGTCAAGGGAACATGAAGAAATCATCAGAAGAAGAAAAAGATCTGTTTCACCAACAAGAAGCAGAGAAAGAAGCAGAAGTCCACCTATTTTCAGCCACAGCAGAAAAAGAGAAGAAAGAGGAAGATCCAGAGAACATATTTGGGAGGAAAGAGAAGACAGCAGAGAAGTAAGGAGGCAGAGACATGAAGAAGATGCTTCCAGGAGTTTTAAACATGACAAGGAAAGAAGTGATCATCATGCATCATCCAGGAATGGAAAACCAAGTAGAAATGATAAGTACCACTGGAGAAAGGAGGAAAACAATCATAATCATGCAGGGATTCATCCTGTTGAAGAGGAAAGTAATGAAGGCGTTCATGACTTAAGGGAAATCATCAAACGAAGTCGAGATGCAACGCGAAGTCCGCGAAATCCACAATACGGCGAGGAATTTGTGGAAGGCGATGAATACTTTCAAGAGTTTGTGCCAAGCATCGACGAAAACAGACGCAGCAACACCCGATGGGAATCAAATCAAGATCGAGGACATGATGAATTCATCACGTTTAAAAAATCCATACAGAATGACATAGCACAGGAATCAGGACAATTTGTTTCATCAAAAGACAGTCATCCAGATATTCCATTCTTCGACGGTAATGATCAAGAAATAACACCGCGGCAATTTATTAAGAAGATTGAAGATATAGGATACGCAACCGGATGGAATTCCAACGAACTCAAGTGTCAAATGGCGGCCAAATTATTGGCAGGCGCGAGAGAATGGTTCCTCAAAGATGAACTCATGAACGAACCCTGGGAGAAGGTGAAAACGCAGTTTATCAAGATGCATCCAACAGATATGGACTATTTTCAACAGTTGAAGAAGATGATGGATCGCACCAAGTACGACAACGAGTCATACAGTAATTATTTCACGTTTAAAACTATGCTCATGAGCGCCGTGGGGATCACAGGACGACGCGCTGTTTCTTGCCTAATCGGAGGACTACTTAATCCAGAATTAGAGTCACAATGCTACCAAAAAAACTACGCCACACCTGAATTATTATTCGATTACTTAAACACTCGTAAAACACCGGTTCAACACAACACAGGAGAATCCAGCAGGAAATCATCGCGTTATTCACCGAAGAAGGAGAATCACATACCGCATAAGAAACCACTTCTGAAAACACCGAAAGAACCGCCGATTTTAAACAATTTAATACCAAAAGAAGAAGTGCATGCTGTACAGGATTTCACCAACGAACCATTCATCATTGTCAAACCAGAATATGAACAGAAACATCTTCTAACGATTAAAATACGGAATCATATCTTGGATGCGTATAATGATATGACAGCGCAGTGTGTTACACTCAAAGAAGAATCCGCCAAACACATACATCTGGAATATTCGCGAAGACGGACGGCAATTATTGGATTCCGTGGGGTGCCGGTGATGGCATTGGGGGATTGCGAGATTCGCATCGGGATTGATCAAGCTACAATCAACTGTCGCGTGTATATCGTGCCAAACATCTGCCAGGAGAAACCCGTGGTGGTTGGGAAAACAATGCGCGAGCATCAACACTTGACTTATCATGAGAGCACGAATAGTATATCTTTCAAACCGCGCACGGCTTATCCCAACACGTTTTCCACCAATGAGAAACGCAAAGAGAAATCGAATCATATTAAATGATTCGGGAAATATATTTAAAAAAAAAAAACACCAAGTTGTTCTTTGTGACAACACATAATGCAACAATTTCTGTTTGTTGCTTTTAGCAAACTGAATTTTTAAGAAATAATCGCGACCGAATTGATATTGATTCAGTTGTGAGTTCATCTAGTAAAATAATTGCAGCTTGTAATTATAATCAGATAAGATTTTAAATTATATTACATATTAGTTAATGATTCGCAACATTTGAACACACGAAACTTACCTTCATTTGTTTATCATGAACAAAGTCAAAGTGTAGTGTTGCCATATTTATTGCTAAAGTAAGTAAAACTCTGATATAGTACACTTAACGGTTGTTTTAGTCTCTTGGAATTTGGAGTTGCGCTCATTCATTGTAAGGATGGAGTTAAATATATTCTTATCACCGCATTTTGTTTGTGTTTGTCAACTATGGTTACCTTTATAGGTCATCCTGTAGTAAGTTTCCGCCGAGTTGCACTTTCTCGCCGGGTTTGAATGCGGGCATTCCTAGATATGGGCAACTTGCGCAGCGGAAAGCATCGCCAAGGTAGCACTAAATAAAATTTATTTTTATTTATTTAAAAGTTATTTTTATAGGAAATATGTGCGATAGTAAAGTTTTGATGACTTACACTGCCACATGATGACTTTGGAAGGTCAACTGCTGGTTTTTCTCCTGCGAGTTCTTCTGCTAAACCACATGAGCAGTCTTTGCAAGCTTTGCGCTTTCCAGTTGTACCACAAACTAATAAAAAGATTTAAAGTGATTATGACTACGTTAACTCAATAAATACTAAATGTATACTTTTAAAACATGAAAATTCAATGATTCTACCTCTGAGTGACTCAATTGATGGTTTCTTCAAGTCATCCTCATCTAGTAGGTTATCTGGATCAATTGCATCATCATCGTCATCCAGTTTCCACACTGCGCCTGCTGGTTTCTTCAGAGTTAGTTTAGATGAAGAGCCAATCTCATATCCTGGCTTATCACAGACATAAATGCCATTATCTGATTGAACATTGATGAAACCACTGGTTTTCAGTGTGAATTCAATGTTATTTGATGCCTCTGCTGGATGAACAAGTAATTTGCCATTGGGTTTGATGGATTTGAATATGTTCGATATGTCATTGTTGATTGCATCAGTTCTTGTTATAACATAATCATAACATTCGTTCCCTGGAAGATATGCGTACTGTTTTAACATGAATATAATGTGATTCTTTACAAACCTGTAACATTGTGAAATGGTGCGAGGGTTATTTCAGCTTGAGCGCATTTGGATTTCACTTCTTCGACGAATTTATTATCGTTGTCAACGATTAACACTTTATCTGTTGATTTTATACACTGCATATTGTATAAATATTTAGTTTATGGAATATATGAGCAATTGTTAGGAAAATACTGCACTCCGTTGACTACTGGTTCAAGTGTGAGTGTGATTAGAAATTAAAACGCGATGTATGGTGAACGGTACAAAAAACAAGTGGGAATGTGAGAAACGTCACGTACGTACGTCATAATCATTTGTGGTTGTTACAGGATAAGCAATGCCATAGTAATAACTAAACAAAATTGATATTACCATAGCGGTTTATTATTTATTTTTATATTATTTAAAAACAAAACAAATACAATGTTTCTAAAAAATATTTTAAATTTGGTGGTTGCCTAGTTGTGTACAACAACTGCGCTACCTGCCGGCGGCTGCACCAAAGTAACGATACTACGTGACGTAAACGTTACAAGCCGAGTTGTGTGCAATGGCGGATGTGCGTTTTCTCCTGTAAATATTCGAAAAAAGCGCCGTTACTTTAATTAAACACATCAAAGGGACCTGCGACGTGCACGGGCGACGACGGCAGATTATCGAGTGATGCGAATTGCGTAAAGTGTGCCTCCGCAATCGATCAATTCGCGCCTGAAAAACGTAAGTGCACCGATTGTTTATGATTATCGCTTGCGGTGTGTTGCATACCCTCGGCATCGCGGCGCATTCCGTGATCCGTGCTAGCGATGCATGCGATGGCGCCCTAGATGCACAATAATCACGCGACGATTATATTTCAGCCATGGACGCTATGATGGAGAGCGCGGTCGATCCGCTTGCGATGGACACGCCGACAAACGGCGATTCGAACGGTTCTCTAGACCCAGCTACTGGTCAAGTTAAACTACCCGAATGTAGCACTGAAGTGGATAATGTAAATGAGGAGTTGCTGAAAATGGACCAAGCTGTAGTTGAGGAAGTTGCTGCTGCTGTAATGCTTGAAGAAGTACCAATGATGGATGTGCCTATGGTTGAGAAAGGTAATGATTCCATGGAGGTAATCACTGAATGTGCCACCGAAGCACATTCAAATGTAGTTCACCCAGAATTTGTTGAAAGTACTATTCCTGCTGAGGAGGACACACATATACTTCATGTACAAGAGACTCATGAAGAGATAATCCAAGCTGAAATGGCTGAGATTCATCAGGATCATGATGTGGAGCAGAGTGCAATTTTACAAACAAGTGACACCATTGATTTGCATCTACAACTTGAAGAATCCACTGAGTCAATGCCCAATGACTCTGAAACTGAGCAAGACGTTGAAGGAGAAATGATTCTGGAGGAAACTACAGGTGAATATGTGTTGGCATCATCACTGAAAACAAAGTCGGAGGTTCCAGAGAAGAAAACAAAGATGGAGGCTGAAGATATGCATACTGTTGCTAAATTGATTGAAGAGAATTTAAAGGGTGGCGATATGCAACCAGGCGAACAACTGGTTGTTGTCACTTCGGATGAGAAAGGTAACACCAAAGAAGTGGTGCTCACACATACCAAAACTGTAACTGAGAATGGTGTGACTATTCAGCATGTTATTGATGAGAGTGGTGAGGTGTATTTGATTGAGACTCTTGATAGTGCTGAGGAGATTGAAGAGGAAGATGCAGCAAATATTCCGGTATGTTTTTTAATGATTTTGATATTTGTTTTATTTTTATTCTGATTTTCTAGGTAAGACCAAGAAGAAATCGGAAGAAATTACAAATTCCCAATCATGTACTTGGTCGTAACATAATCAACCCCGTCGAGGATACTTTCCGCAATGGCAAAGCACCTCCAAAACCAAGGTTAGGTGTAAAAATACCCTATAGGAATCTGACAAGTCAGATTGTCTCGAAGGCAGAGATCGCCGAGGAGATTCTCGAGCGTTCTCGACGTTTTAGTCGAGAAAACCCGCGCCAGAACATGTTTGCACGCAAGTTGACACAGAACTTGGTGAAGAAACTGCAGCCAAAAGATGCCAAAGGACCTATTGGTGTCACTTCACTCACCAGGGGTAGAGGTCGTCCTGGTGCAGGTAAAGGCAAGAAAGACGGCGATAAACTTGACAATTCTGACCTGCTTGCGATTTTGGAAGGTGATGATGCAACTACCGAGTCAACTGCGTCCGAAGAACCTCAAAAAGACACAAAAGAAGAGATGACTACAGAGAAAGAACGCGAGATTGCTTTGAAACAACTCAGCGAACTTCCAGATGATCCCCCAGAACCACCGAAGAAACCCGATGAGGAGCAGGAGCAGCCCACTGAGAAGAAACCAGACAAACGTACCAGCGAACGCGGAGTTAAGTCACCGTTCACCGGCAGCGCCCCGCTTAAAACCTACGGTCGTAAACGTAAAACCTCTGAGGAAGTACACCAACTCACTAATCCTAAACCCTCTGCTCCCAAACAGGAAAGTCTTACCCAGAAAGCGCAAGCCAAAGCGACTCCCAATCCCTCGAGCCCCGATACCCCAGCAACACGTGCGTCCAGGTCCAATTCGTCCGCAGCGATCCTCCCGCAAAGCCCCGAAAACACGAATAATTACGTCACTAAGAGCTCCAGAGTTATCAAACGTAAAGTCATCTGGGATCCGGATGAAGCATCACCTAAGAAAGGTATGAAAGTAGATGCCACGCCCACATCTAAAGACGCTAAGAAAGAAGGGAAAAAAGTCGGCGCCGAAGTAAAGAAAGACGTCAAAGTTGTGAAAGATCCCAAAAAAGACGCTAAAGAAACACCTACAACGAGGAGAGAAACTAGAGAACTGAGAAGTTCCGAATCGCCCAACAGAAAATCATCGCAGCCAATTATGCAACCCAAAGAAGAGCCCATCTCGGACTCTGAAGTTGAAACACCGGAGAAAGAAAAACCCACAACGCCTGTAAAAGCAAAACGTCGTTTGAACGAAGTCACAAAACTGTTGATGGATGAAGGCGCTGTTAATATGTTGTATTCTATCAAGAATGACGATGCGCCGACTACGCGCCGGGGAGAAAAATCACAGCAAACGAAAGCAGACGAGATTCTAAACGAATTGAGCGCGTTACACACTGGTCCTGCTGATAGATCATCACCGAAAGCACTTCGTAAGAAAGAAAGCAGTACGCCTGCGCCTGCTCCACCTAAAACACCTAAGAAGATAATGTGCCCGCCGACACCGAGTCCGATCTCCAGGCAGAGGTCGAAGGACTCAACTCGTAGCTCCGTACATAGTCCGCCACCATCACCGGGGCAATCATTTGGTGGAATCGAATCGCGGATTATTCGTAGGCATTCAAGTAGTTCTTATTCGAGTATGGGTGAGGAGGATGATGCGGATGAGAGGCGGGTGAAGAAGTTAGAAGGACGTGGAAGGCGGCGGGCACTACAGGCTGCTGTGGAGAGTGATAAGAAGAAGATTAAGATTGAGCCCGGGAAGACTGCGAGCCCTCCAAGCGCCAAAACGAGCCAAATTAAAAGTAAAAATGATAACTTTGAGAAGCTGGTGGAGATCAAACTGTCGCTTTCAGAGAAATACAATAAGTACAAGACGTTTACAGTTAGTTCTTTGAATAAACTGGTGCAGATTGATCTGAATGTGAGCACTGTTGATGATAGCAGTGTTTATTTAACAAATGAGGTAAGATTTTTGGCAATTTTTGTATAAATTAACCTCAAATGTATGTTTTTATAGGTTATGTCTGAAATTACATCAATTCTTGCTGATTTGGAGGCTGATAGAAGCGTGAATGTTGTGCTTATCACGTCAAGCGGCACGATTTTCTGCAACGGGCTGAATTTCAAGTCGCTGGTGCTACCCAAGGAGGCGTCAAGGAAAGCCGCGGCGAAGAAATTAGCGAAATCCGTTAGGTAAGTGCATGTGCATGCGATTAAAGAGGCACTTTAAAAGAAAGTCATTAGCGGCCGCCATTTGCTTAATGACCACCGCGCATTATGCGCTTTGTGTTGAATTTAATTGCAAACAAACTTGTGTTTAACCCATTAACGTCGATATTTATTTATTTGCAGCGATTTTCTCTTGTGTCTGGCAAAGTTTCCCAAAGTACTCGCCGCTGGAATTCACGGCGATAGTTTTGGCATTGGCGTGACGATGTTGCCACTGTTTGATATGATTATCTCGCATGAAGATGCAACGTTTACGATTCCCAATGCGAAATTAGGTTGTATTGCTGAAGGTGGATCACTGCTTCTGCTGCCGCATCTTTCACGAAATGTTCTCGTCAATGAGTTGTTATACAGTTCACAGACGTTGTCAGCAGAAGAGGCAATCAAACTTGGTCTCGTCACGAAGATCCTCACAAAACATACATTTGCGAGAGAGTTATTGAGTACTGTTAAGGGTGTTTCAGATAAATCTGCACAGGTATTATAAAAATTAATTTAAAGAAAATATTTTTATTTATTGTTTAAATATTGTTTTAGTTTATGGTTTCTACAAAGAAACAACTACGAAAGAGGATGATTCCTGATATAACGAACTCGCTCAGCGACGAGACTGAGAACCTGATTGAACAATGGACGAGCGAGGAATGTCAGAAGAGTTTCACCGAGTACTTTGACGCTGAATGACGCCCGCGTCACAAAACATGCAATAATTAAGTCGTCGTAAAATTACTGAGTAGGAAAATCGTAAATTTTGTGAACATGTTCCTGCGGACATCTTCGATAACGCAAAGTGTGTTAGAATTTTTGGTACAAAGATTTTATTAGATTAGAATGGCGCAGATATCGGCGTATCAAGATCTAGGACGGAAATATTTTTATACCTTCGATGAAATAACGATAACTAGGGAGCTATACGTTCAATGTTGCATTCGTTTCAAATCGTATTATTGTCGCGTTTAACTTTTTTCAAAAGCGTCGTATATATTTTCAGTTTTTTTTTTCGCTAGATCTAGATAGTTATATATTTAGAAGTTGTAAACATGTTTTATTTTAGATAACTTTATTCATTTGGCGCGCCAAGTAATTTATTCTGACGCATCAAAGGTAATTAGCGAATTATTTTGTTTAGTTTAAGTAAATTCTACGAAAAAAACAATTTTAATTAATCATTGTTTTGTTAACATTTTATTTCGATGAAAGTAGTTTGATAATATTTAAGAACGTATGTTTGTAGTTTGCGGAAAAAATTTATAAGCAACACGTTTTTAAAATGTGTTCGGTTTTTATTTACTAGAGTTTGCAATACGACTAATGGTATATTAAGTATCAAGTGTGTTAAACGCCACTTTAACCACGAGTGCTGAACAACGTTTAACAACTTGATGCTTATGATATTATTTTCTACTTCCCACACTTTTTGTGTCTTTAAAAGGTGGAAGTAGAAAAAAAACATTTTGTGTGGGGATGTGGATTTGCTGTCGTTGAATTTGATTGACGAATTGGCACTGATGTTTATGTCTTAGCACTTGTTCGTGCGACTGTAACGGAAGCCTGATTAGAGTTTAAAGCTACGAAACTACTAAGATGTTTATAGTTTAAAGAGTCGTTGACGGTAAACACGAGAAAAATGGGAAGAATTTATATTATAGCGAATGGAACAGCGCAAATGCCCGGCGAGGAAATAATATTAGTGTTCAAATGTTTTCATTGATGAAAAAATATAAGTATCGTTTCATTGTTTATAGTTATGAGTATTTTCACTATTCATTTTGTACGTTTTGGACTATCTGATTAAATAAAATGTCTAATCCGAAGGTTTTCTCTTTTAATAGCTTTACAAAAATGGCCGCCGCCATTTTTTTAAAATTTCACTTCAAACCAATGAAAATCTCAGTTTTTTGTTGTTTTTTACTTGTTTTTGCAAATTTTCTTTAAAAAATTAAATTTAAGTGTTAGTTGATAGTTTTTACTATAAATTCCTGTATAAAATTTCCTCGTTTGGCATTTTAGCCAAATTTCACGCCGTGATGAACGGTTAACAGGAATGCAATCACTTCCCGCGTGCCAAAATCGAAAGTATTTATTAACGTCCGCTCGCGATTTAATGTGTTCGGCGTGCGCGCGATCACCGCCCCCCACAAGCACCTGAACGTGCGTGCCGGCGCCGCCACCACCGCCAAATAACGGAAGGAAGGACGGGGCGGATCTCCCGAGGCGGTGCGGTGCGCGAATTCGCGCGCGGCGACTCCGCCAACAGTTGGTGACCATCCGTCGGCCGGCTCAGAAGGAAGCACCGGAGGCGAGAATTCCAGTGCAGCAGCTGAAGCTGAGCTAGAGAGTGCGACTTGGACGTCTCGAGTATGCCGCCGGACGGCGAGAGAATCGTTTGCTATCGCACGTAGAACGCGAGAGTTACCTGGTAAGTTTACTGCAACTTTTTACAACTTGAAAAGACAGACATGTCTCGGGAAAATCTACAAAACAAAGCAATAAAAAATTACTTAAAAGTTACTTAACTTGCCGCTAAGTGCATACCGATCATTAGGTGTGTGTCAACGAGGCTTCAACGGCGTGAATAATTTTATTATCGCTATTTGCGCATAATGATCGAACAAACAAACAAAACAATGTTTGAACGGCCGGGAATTGTAATTGTAGTTGTATATAAATTGCTGATTATAAACTTTATTGCTTTTTGCGTTTATTTATAAGCATTTCATCTTTGAAGTGGCAATTAACAAGTGTTAAATCTAATTGTGATTATTATTTTTCTTTCGTAAACAAAAACTAATAATTTGAATCACAATTGCATAATTTTTTATAAATTTCGCTAAAAAATAACAAAATTCTTTTAATTTTGCGTGAAATTTGTGTAGAAAATGATGTTTAAAGTCATTGACCACCAAAATATGTTTTAGTTTTTAATTAATTACTGAATGAGTCGATGTGAATTGATTACGACCGGAAAACTAAACCAAAATGACCAAATTTTACTTGATTAGAACGTTTTTATCTCTTCTTATCGTAATTTTAACGAAAAAATTACTACAAAAGTAGTAAATCTTAGTTTTTAATCATATTTTTACGCTATAGAAATTTTATTTTAATGGTAATATTAAATTAATTAAGTCTGCAAGGGATTTGATTAGATTTTAATATAAATGACAGGCATAAAGTCTAATTTTTTTATCATTTATTATCGATGCGTGTAGACTTAACAAAGCCGTAAAACTTTTGTTTCATATCGTTTTCGTCTTTCGTCTTTTTGCGTTTTGTTAAAACACACGGCTCGACGCCTTTTCACACGACTGGGCAGCGTGAAAAAAATGAAGAGACAAAGTGAGCGCACGTCATGTTGGACAACGAACGCATCGAACATAATGTCGGTTATAAAAATGCGCAAAAACCCTGCTTGATTGATAAACGAAACGATTAAAAGTGGTTTTTATTTAGTTTTATCGAAACTATTAAAACTACTATAGATAAAACTAACAAATAACAAGTTTATATATTTATATAAATGAATATTTCATTACTAAAAGAAAAGATTGTCGTGTTTCTAAGAAATGCCGGTCAATCACAATTCACAAAGCAGAAAAAAAGCTATTTTTTATGTCTTTTCAAAGACTTTTATCTTTTATCATTGTGCACCTTGTTGAAACGATCAGGACTAATCGAAACATGTCATCTTTTCATCTTCAATCCTTTGATTTTTCCTATAAATCGTTTGTAGAATTCGTTTTTGATTCAAATTAAATTTTACTAGAAATAATAATGAGAAAAAGTATTTGTGAAGTAGACAAGATGTTGAATGCTTGATGCTTTTTTTCTGCTTCGCGATAGAAGATGAGAAAAACGCCAAAAAGTCACAAATTCCGAAGTTGATGTGCGCCACTCTCGGCTGGTTTGTGTCGCGGCGAAGACACTGATTCCGCGATAATAGCACGAAGACGTACCTTCCACGAATGATGCCAATAGAACACGTTCCAATACATCAGCACATCAGCTAGATTTTACGTTACGCACATTTCCTCTCCCCTTCGACGCGAGATTCGCGTAGATTCGCACGTCATCATCGCGCCCATTCCATTTTACCTTGTTACACTTGTTATACTTGGGATTTTTGTCGTCGGTTGTTATTTTCTCGTCGCGGAAACAACACGTTTATTTTTCTTGCTAAATCATGCAACTTTTGTTATGTTGGATTAGGATTTGAGGCATTTTGTTGAGATTTGTCAGATTTTTTACTTTTTATTAGAATTATAGGAAAATAAATGTAAAATTTGTATTTATTTTATTGTAGGCAACCAACGTTGCAATATTTGCTTATACTAAGTCAGTTAGTGTATGCAACCAAATTTACACGTTAATTTTCTTTCTTATTCAAGCAATTTCTGTTATTCTGACTTCGAATTTATTGGATTTCGTCAAGTTTTGTTATTTTTCAAATTTAAGAAAACCAAATTACAATTTACAAAATTATTATAGAATAATCTTGCCATTTTTACATATTTTAGTTGTAAACCGACTTTATAATAATAGCTTAAAGTAAATAAGTTATTGTATGCAACCAAATGTACTTTTCAATATTTTCATACATAATATTCACTTCTGAAAAGTAATTATCATAAATATCCATATGAATGTTCGAATGCCAGTTGCCGGACGATGAGCTCCGAGTCCAACATCTGTTTATCAAAACATGATCAAGTTTATCTCTCCCCCGCTTGCGCCGGCCGATCGCTGCGGGTTTGAAATTGAAATTTCCTGCCGCCGCAGCGCGCCGTTCGGTTTCAATGAGCAAGAGGTATAATATTCGCCGACTTCTCGACTTTGCGCGGCGAACTTGTATGGGCTGGCAAAACTACCCCTATTACACTAGCCAACTTCTCAGTGCTGGCGAATGTTGGTAAGGAGGCCTTGGACTAAGCCCCAAAACGGGCGCGCGTTTAGCGACGTGCTGCATTGTGATAATAAAGGTTTAATCAAAATCTACGAGTATATGCAACAGATGTTCGCTGAAATTTACTGAAACATCTAGGGAGTTTCATAGTCTGCTAATTTCTTAGTCATACATTCATGATTTATTAGTCTTTACCACTGAATATCATCAGATGGACATAAAAACATACATAACCTATATTATTATCTATTTTTTTATGTAAATATGGAATTTTATTATAATTTTTGTTTTAATGAAAATTTTCATGCTTTGTTTAAAGAATTCTGTTTAGAATGATAATCTTTATTAACACGACTGTGACTGCAGATATTAAAACGCATAAATGCGCGTAAAATGACATGAAACGTTGACGCGTGTCAACAAAAACTTATGAAACTGCAGTGAATTCATAAAATTGGAAAAGGAATTAAATCTCAACGTTGCTATGCAAAACTTAAAGTATATATTATATGAGTTAAAATATATCGCCATAAACTCCATAAAGTTAACTTTTAACTTGCTCTTTTGAGAAAAATAACGGCAACCAACATTGCAGGAATTTATTGACGCAGAAATGCTTTGGAATTATCACTTTTTATTGCTACAAATTCTTTGAAATTGATTTACATGCGCAGTTACAGGAATTTTAATAATGAATATATTGTGTATTTTCCAACATAACTTAAGTTAAGCGTTAACACGACTATTTAAGGCACGGATAAACTTAGAAACATGTTTAGTTATTAACGATAAATTCAAAACATTGTAACTGAAAGTAAATCATTCATTTCCAGGACAAAATGACAGAAATACGCAGTCGTCGTTTCACATCTCTTTTCAGACTGCTGCCTCGAAGGTTGCGGGACAGCGAGACGAAAATTATAGGTTAGAATACTCTACATAACCTCATTTATTAACTATTTACTTAAATTTATGTGTTTTGATTTGCTTCTTTTGATTTATCAAGAAATGACAGCAAGAGAAACATCTGAAAATGGCGGAACGGATAGCGGAGGCGGCGGAGAGTCAACCGCCGGTAACACACCAAACCATCACTGCAACGACACCTCCGAAGAAGCGGAAGCCGACACGCTGTTGTTGAAAAACAGCACGAGCAATAGCAACAATCTCGCTACAACCGCCGGTGGCGGAAACAAAGACGGTAAAGACGCGAAGGAGAAAAGCGGAAAAGAAAAAAATGGCCGACCCGTCAGCAAGGAAGTCGTCGTCATCGCACTCACGCCCGACCGACAGAGGGAAACATGGGACAAAAAGGTTGAGTTTTTGCTGGCTGTCATCGGATTTGCGGTTGATTTGGGCAACGTGTGGCGGTTTCCATACATCTGCTACCAAAATGGCGGAGGTGAGTAAATTTCACAAAAAAATACACAAATATATAAGTGTATTGCGTTTGGATTCATGTTGGCGATGAGGAAAATTAAGTTATCTGATAGAGTATCAAGGATTCGCGCAAGAAATTCGAAACCCAGTTGGAAGTTGGCGGTGTCGCGTTTCGTGAGCAAACTGCACGCGCGTCTTTGCCGCCATCGCCGCCGCCGCTTTAATTTGGTTATGCGTTTTCAATGCGATACTTGATGGCTTGTTTAGTCGGCGTGGCGCGCTGAATTCGATTTATTTTGGTATTTATCAACGAAGGATTTGGATTCAAACAATAGGCATGTAATTGTGAGCGTATTCAAGCAAATTGAATTATTTTTAGTGAAAATTTTGTAATTAATTATGAAGTTTTGTTATCGTGAGTGCATTTATGTATGCTTGCAGGTGCCTTTCTAATTCCATACGTGATCATGCTGATATTCGGCGGATTGCCGTTGTTTTACATGGAATTAGCGCTAGGTCAGTTTCACAGGAGCGGGTGTCTCACGATATGGAAGCGGATTTGTCCTGCGTTGAAGGGTAAGTTTAAAAATTAACTTTTAAATGTTATTTTGAGAAAATAACCTCTTTATAACGACGTTTAAGAGATTACCTAGATGTTTTATTGCATTGTAGCAAAGTGTCGTTAAATAGCGGAATAAAACATAACCAATTATTGAAATTTTACGCGGATAGGCAACTGTTTAATAATTTGTAAGGCGTCGCTCAGTTGTATTCACTTGTGTTATGTTTAAATGATTTTCTAGTAACGCAACGTGCACCTCAACAAATTAGCTGAAAAATCGTGCTTAAGTTATAGAAATTTGCATTGCAATTTGTAGGGATGTTGGGATAATAATTACAACAATATTTTAAATGTTACCATTGATGTCATGTCTTTGATAAAAATATTCTACCTCAAAATGGTTAGAAATGAAAATATTTTTCGTCGTTTCACAGAGAAGCTATAACACTATAACGAAGAATCTGATATAAACCAATTAAATTGTACAAATTTCGTCGTTATACGGAGTTTATTGTTAAATTGACTAACGATAAAACGAGGCTACAATAAAGTTAGTTTTTTTTTGTTGAAAATGAAACTAAAGCGAGTATTCTGGCTTTATGAGTGGTTGTATGTGAAAAGATATAAATTCGGCGCTGTTTGCTCCCGTGCCCCCAAAAACAAACAAAACGCACACGCAATGAATCTCGGTGAGTGAAAATTATTGGAATGGAGCATCCACATTTGCGATTGTAATTCGCCGCTTATAAATATTACATTAGGTGTCATTTATTCGCGCCTCAATTTTCCCAAGTGCAAAACGGCGAGTATCAAACACTAAACATACAGGATGTCATAAAATTACTTGAGCTACATAACCTTAAAAACACTCTATAACCTTAAAACTTACTACAGTTAATTTTTTATTAAACAAATTCATAAAAAATTTAATTTTAAACACAAAAAATAACAAGAATATTTAATGATTCTATAAACTAAATATTGTGTTGTGTTTAAACTGGATTTTATAGAACTTGTCTTTGGCAACCATTGAAACAATCAAACGCTTTAGCCGCTTTAGATATACGTTTAGATTTAAACAAAATAAGGTGTGTGTAGTGCTCGGATGGGCAAGAAATAAAAGCGAGATAAATGACTAATGAATTGAACATGAGTGCGAAACGAATGTGATGCGGCGGCGGCTGATAGTGGCGGCGGGCAGGTCTGTTTTACCGCTCCACTCACGCCACTCGTGACTAAAAGGTTTCTGTTGTTTTCGTTGCGGACGCCGGGATCGCCGAGAGCCGCCAAAGATGGACGTCGTCTAATGCGGGCGTGCGAATATTACTTTTAGATTTAATTCAATTCCAAACCCGGCGCGGACGGTTAGGCGATAAGGTAAATACGAAATCAAGACGGATACTATTTCTATCAGTATAAGAATCATTGCTACTATTATCGGAAACTAGATATTTATTCAGTAAATAACTTAGATTTAGGTTTTTATTTCGAAATTTATTAGAAAATGATAAAAATTCAACAAAATTGTACAAAAACAAACAAAAATAAAGATAAAAATTATAAATTTGATACTACACCAAGGATAATTATTAGTATTTATTATTTTGTTAATCAATTTATTTTTAATTAATGAAAATATTGATTTATTTCAAAATTTATTTTAAAATCGTAAAAAATGAATAAATTTGAACAAAATATGAATAATTTTTATAAAATTGATATAAAATTAATAAATTTGGTATCAAATCAAAGATAATTAGATTATCTATTATTTTGTTTAACAAATTATTGTTTAAAAGTAGTTTTACAGTGTTTAAATTGTTTATAAAGTCAGTATTTTAATTTTTTGCCAAAACAAGTATCTTATATGTTTAAATATGTTTAAACATGTTTTTATTTTACTGATTACGCCTGTCATTGCCACGACATTGGGTTTCAATGAAAATCAAGAGCGTAACGAAGCGAAATGTATCCGTATCAATCGCATCATTTATGCACCATTCAAATTTATTAGGTCGCAAATCGTATTTCACACGCTTTTTGATTCACAAATCAATATAAATATAACTCCACATAAATAGATTCCATCAAATAAAAACAACAACTAAACTTGAACCAACCTAAAAGTAACATTTTCATTTCAGTCAGTTCAGTTCAAAATGAAAGTTTAAAACTTTCCGAAGAAAAAATATGTACATTGAGTCTAGTTTAATAAGGGCCTGAACGCGAGTTCAAATTTCCGGTTTTTCCAACGCGGCGCGCGAGTTTAATCAAGAGGATTTCTTAAATTCACGCGCGCTACGGACAATTAAAAACTTTGCAAAGTTATTGCAACGTTGCATCGAAAGACAATTGAGGCAATCGATGTGCGCAAACTTAGAAGAGACTAACTTTCGCAAGTTGTTTAAATTCTGAATTGTCTACAATCAAATATCTTGGAGTAGAGCACTTTAAACACAATTTTAAGTAATTTTATATTCAAATTAAACTTAATAAGCAATTAGTACTTGCGTTAAAGCTTACAACTTAAATAATTACCTAATTATCTCTTTAGGTATAGATATTTAAGGTTAAGTTTATGAGAGGCTTAGATTAGTTGATAGCACTTGAATGAGGTTATGTTTGTTTGCCGCGAGGTGTTCGCAACTTGCCACGCATGATTTGTACAAATACAAGGCGATGTTTGGATTGACATCCGCAATTCGCATGAAACGTGAAAATATTAATCGTTAGTGCCGAGGGTGTAGTACAAGCACAAACAGTAAACTAAAATCACTATATTCGCGATATACGAGTTGAAAAGCAGAGAGTAAACATCAATTAATGACTTTTTGCTTTCTACGAATAAATATAAATTCCTCACCACTAAAATTCATATAATATAAATTATAAAATGTTTTTATTAATATTTTATCAATTCCCAAGTGATTTTTTAATCTCCAGAGTGTACTTGTATTGATTGCACAATTATCTTCTTTTAATTGAAGCTATTGTGTTGAATTGAAAGCTTTAATCATGGGTAAATGACAAAAGAAACAATTTACGTTGAAGTGAAGATTACTGTTTTCTTTTTTCTTTTCTTTTTTTTTATTGTTTAGGTATTGGATACGCCATTTGTCTGATTGATCTGTACATGGGAATGTACTACAATACTATCATCGGCTGGGCAGTGTATTATCTGGTGGCCAGCTTCAAGACGACGCTGCCGTGGACGTCCTGCAACAACCCGTGGAACACGCCCAACTGCCGACCTGTTGCCGACCTCCAGCACCGTCTCAACCCCTTCCCGAACGCAACAAGTCCTGCGAGGGAGTTTTTTGAGTAAGTTTTAACCTAATCTTAATATTTATTTTGTTTTCTTTGTAAAATTACGCGTTAAATTAAAATTAATGATAATTTTGCCAAAAATTCTTCTTTTTTTAACGAAAAAATAAAAGAATTAGTCAAGAAAAGCGTAGGAAAAGGTAGGAAATCCCTAAAGACGTTGTCTAAACATTGTCCTCTTAAAATAACACTCGTTGGAAGTAAAGCGTATGCTAATTTACACTTTGTTTTCACTTTCCAAGAAAAAAAAGAAAAAATCTCCGCTGTCGAAAACCGCAGCATGGATCGATTGATAAAACGTAAAACGTGATCTAGAATAAACCAAAAATCTCATAGTTATTAAAATTCCACAGTTTTACTACAAAATTCTACAAAATGTGCAGCGTCACCTAATTACCAACCTTGTAAAGTTTGAGATTAATATGGAGTTAATTTGATTTGCGCGGCGCCACGCGAGTTGCGATGATGCGACAGTTTTGCGGTCGAGATTTCTGCACAAAACGATAATAAATGAAAATTAACGAACCAAAACCCCAGTCAAGAAGTAATTAATTACGTGTGAGACATGAATAACAACATTTTTAACGTGAAACTAATCGAAGAAAGCGTTTAAACTAATGAGACATTATAAAACCTTTTTAATCATTTTTTACAGGCGGGAAGTTCTTCAGCAACACCTGTCTAATGGTCTGAATGACATGGGGCCTATCAAACCAACCCTCGCTATATGCGTCTTCTTGGTTTTCGTCCTTGTTTACTTCTCTTTGTGGAAAGGTGTTAAAAGTACAGGAAAAGTAAGTTTTTTCTTTTTCATAAATTTTTTGTTTGTAAAAATAACAAAAATTAATTTATATTGATGTTTATAGGTTGTTTGGGTAACTGCCCTTGCACCCTACGTGGTCCTGATTACTCTACTGTTCCGCGGCATCACGCTCCCTGGTGCCGGTCAAGGTATTCTCTACTATCTCACCCCACAATGGGAGAAACTGAAAAACTCACGAGTTTGGATCGACGCCGCCTCCCAAATCTTTTTCTCTCTGGGACCTGGTTTTGGTACCTTGCTAGCTTTGTCGAGTTATAACAAATTCAACAACAATTGCTATCGAGATGCTCTACTAACCAGCAGTATCAATTGCCTGACGAGTTTCTTAGCTGGTTTTGTAATTTTTTCGGTTTTGGGATACATGGCAGAGGTGCAAAACAAAAATATTGAAGATGTTGGACTTGAAGGTACGATTATAACCTAAAAATGCAAAAAAAAATTTTTTAATTTTTTTGTTGATTGCAGGTCCGGGTTTAGTGTTTATAGTTTACCCGGAAGCTATAGCCACCATGACAGGTTCAGTCTTCTGGTCAATCATCTTCTTTTTGATGTTGATCACCCTCGGATTGGATAGTACTTTTGGTGGTTTGGAAGCAATGATAACGGCTCTATGCGATGAGTATCCGCGACTCCTAGGAAGACATCGTGAACTTTTTGTTGGTTTACTGCTTGTTTTCATCTACATATGCGGACTACCTACTACAACCTACGTGAGTACACAAACCTAACCTTGAAATGCTAAAAATATTCGTTTTTCGCGCTAAAAACTTCGCAACTTGAACTTTTCACGTGAAATATGCGCTAAAAATAGATTTTTCATAAGTTAGCAGTTACAATCAGCCTTGAATGGCGTGTCAGCAAGAAAAGCGTCAACTTTTCATGTCGGTCTAATCGACTTTGATTGTTCGGGGCTCATAGAAATCACGAATTATACGTAATAAAATAGTTCGCCTAATGCGAGCGAACGAAAAAAGTGGCGAAAACTTTATAACTATGCATTCGTTGGTCGTACGAAGGTCGAATTGGTTGAACTTTTCCTGCAATGGTTCGTGATTTGAAAGGATTATTATGCAGGAATTATTGAAATTCCTCATCATAAAAAACTAATTATATGCAATTCAATGTGCACGCATGCATGCATGCAAAAACATCGGAAACGTTTTAAAAGTGCATTTTTGGTTGCCTACAGTTACGGAAATAAAATCAAAGCTGCTATTTCGGTGGATATTATGTTATTTATAAATATGTACCTGTCCGCAAATAAATCAACCCTTGTCACGTTTCATCGAGCACGAGTATCATCTCTTCGCCTCCGACCAGTCGAAATATGCCCGCCTACATTTAAATACAAAGAGTAAATTTCAATTTGCGGCGTGTGAGTGTGAGTGTGCAGGGCGCGCGCGATAAAATAAAATAGAGAAAAAGCGATTGACTCACGACTCCGGCGGTCACAATCCACCCTCGGCTGCTAAAACCCCTCGCTTGGTATCGATGACGTACATTAGATGAACTCGTGCATGAAAATCCGAATCACCAAACGCCATAGAAATAGAAATATCAACACAACATGCGCTGCCGAGCGCTGGAAGAGCGCTGGGATTAGGTTAGGTTGCGCTCGGTGTACATAGAGGTTATGTCGCGTGGGTTGCGGCCGACGGTTCGGTTGGGACCGTTCTATAATTAGCTCATTGACGACACGCAGCCTGTGTGAAATTCGCGTTGTGCATGGCCGATTCTCTTCGATTTTCGGCTTCACTCGGCTCGCGTGCACTCAACTCGACGAGGGGTGGAGTAAAAGCAGCGGCCGAGTACGGGAATAAGTGCGTACGATGCGTGGAAAATGCGCGTTTACTACAATTTTACTTTCAGCGCTTACCATATTCATATAACCACCAAAAACGGGTTAAAATTGACAAAAGAAGCGAGTATAATATCAACGTAACCTTGATTTTTACGCTCTATTTACATTGCGTATGTTTGGTTGCCTATTTTCAGGGAGGAGTGTATCTTGTTAATCTTTTGAACGTTTACGGCCCGGCGTTGGCGATTCTCTTTGTCGTCTTCGTGGAGGCGGCTGGTGTGTGTTGGATCTATGGCACTGACCAATTCTCTCGTGACATCGAGCAAATGATCGGCCACAAACCGGGACTTTTCTGGAGGTTATGTTGGAAATACATTTCACCTGTATTCCTATTAGTACGTACTTGAAACACAAAAATCTTAATTATAACCTCAATTATCAACAATTTTGTGTTGTTTTATAGGTTATCTTTATATTTTGCCTCCTGGGTCACGAAGAAATGCTCGGCACCGAATACAATTACCCCGATTGGAGCATCAACGTCGGCTGGGCGTTGACAGCGTCGTCGACGCTGTGCATCCCGGTGTACATCGTGTACAAGTTCCTCATCACACCTGGTGATTGCGCGCAGCGCTGGAAACGCATATGGCGGCCGGAGCGCGTCTCCGACGGCGGGGCAACGCTCGCCTACGCCGAGGGCGCCGAGGTGTGACCCGACACGTCCATCAAAAGTTCCAAGTTTTACACGATCGAATGGTTAGTCTAGGTTTATCATTCGTACACTCATCATAGCTTTGCTTCGAGATGTTGCTCATTTAATTTATACGCTTTTATATAACAAATCAATTGCATTTAAATGTTTAAATAATAAGTAACTGGATAAATATTGAGGTTGTATTTTATTTTCTTTGGGTTCACAATGAACTTACAGCCAAAATTGATTGTGACCTGAAACAAAAAGAGTGTAATGTCAGCCATTGTTGCACTTTTTATCGAGCAAGGTACTAAATTATTTATTTTTTATCCTTCGTCTGTAGAAAGACTACTAGCTGTTCATTGACAATATTTGTCAAATATTCTCGCAAAAATATTTGAAAAAAAATTGAAAAATTTATGATTAACTTAACTCTTTACCTATAAATAAATTAAATTGTTGTATTATACACATAGACGTTTCGATGTTATAAAATATAAATAGTTTATGATGAATGTCTTTAAGTTAGAGTTTTGTATTAGAAACGCGTTCGAATTATTTGATATTGAAAGCAAAAAGAATAAAATGCTGAAAATGTCAAATCCAAGTATTAGAGTAATAACATACAGAAATCATTATGATCATCTTATAAATATTATGATATGGCTTTGAAATAATGCTTTAATATTTAGACAAACAAAAAACAACCAAAATGTTACCTACTAAAATTATATTGTAAAGTGTTTAAAGTTAAAACAGAAAAAATCTAAAATTCGTGAAAAATTTAATCAATGACATAAATTGTTGTTAAAAATTGTATATTGAAAACAATTTGTTGGATTTGTAATGTTTTCAATGCAAACACAATTTGTGTCATTGAATAATTTGATGAAATGTAAAATTATGCGGTGTTATACAACCAAAATTCATAAACACAGCTTGACTCTGTAGTTTTGGTTGCCTACTATCGCATTGTTTCAAATTGAACGAAATATTTGTAACAATGAATAAAACTATAGTTTTTAAGTGTAAATCATTAAACTTTTGATAATAACTGAACAAGACAAATAATCAAGTAAACAATAACTTTTTAAATAAATAACTATCAAGAATGGGAACAAAATATGCAAGGGTCCATATTTTTTGTTCTCGTTCTCTTTGAAAATTAAGTTTTAAAAAGATTTTTGTGTAATGTACAGCCATTCATTGCACAAAAATGTATAAACAAAGTAAACAAAGTAAAAAATTGATTTCGGATTAAATTTTTGAAATATTTCATGGCCTACATTCGATTTTGATGAAATACCAACACATAACTTATCGAAGTGTTGTAGAAACAGAATATAAAGATATTATAAAGCGTAAAATGAAATTTTAGCACGTGTAATAAACTAGTAATCGATGTGTGATGTGATATATACAAGTATTATATGCCTACACTGAAATAGATTAACAAAGAGCTACAAAAAGAATTTACTCCATTATACTGCTGGACAAAATATTCTATTGTTACACACACGAAACGAAAGTTTGCGTTTGATTAATTTAGCAAATGTATTTTGTGTTTGATTCGCAAAAAGAGTGCTCTGGATGAATGCATGTGGATGAGAAGAGGGTGAAATGATAAAAGATGAAAACGAAGCGATTGCTACGTCGAGCGGAAAGTCCAGCCAAGTTTCCGCTCGGCCGCCATCGCGCAATCAAGTGAACAATCAAAATCGAGACCGGGATGAGGAATGAGAATGGAAATTGAAAATCTCTATCCTCTTTGATAGTTACACAGACGTATTATGTTATTAATTCAATTGGACCATAAAATAATTTATTTATGACTAATTTAAGTTGTTAGAAATACAAATAATCATGTAAATGCAAGATGTATATGTATATGAATGCTTAATTGTTGATATTCATTTAAATAAATTCATATTTGATTTTTTATAAAAATTTGATAAGTTATTCAGTGAAAAATTAGCGAAAAATATATAAAGCTCGCGAATATCTTAAATAATGAAGTTGTTTCCGTACGCGTCTGTAGTCACCGAAGAAGTAACAATGAAGTAGAATGGCGGGAAGTTTAAAATGGTTGAAAGTATAGTCTATGGAAGTATAGTGTACAGTCTCCATAGTGTAGTCAATTGGATTTGATGTTGACGTAGCTGTCGGTAATACAGTGTGATAATACAGTGTGATAGGACTATAGTACTTAGGTTTGAGCTTCATTGCTGGAATGCTAGATGGCGTTAAAGTAGTCAAATAGCCAGATGCAGAGGTATTATTGACTAAACAATTTCTTTATTTTATTTTAAAAATAATTTTTTTTATTAAATAAAAAGTAGCCTATAACCATTCGGGGACCACTAAGAATATGTGTACAAATTTTCATGATGATCGGTTAAGTAGTTTTTGCGTGAAAGTGTAACAAACATCAGGACTTTCGCATTTATAATATTAGTAGAGATGTTTTATTTTTAGGTTATATTGATGAATATTGTACCAAGAAAAAAATGAATCTGAACTTGCTTATCTTACACTACCTAAATTTGTGTTCTTAGTGAACATATGCGAAAAGAGGAAGCGACTGAACGTGAAGCTTGTCTAACCGCAATGACAAGATACATCTGGCCATTAAATAAAGAATGAAGAAATGAAGCAAATGACTTGCGACAACTTAGCAGAGCAATAAAATTAAAATAACAACTTCTACAACCCGAAAAATGATTGTTTTCATAATAATATTTAATAAACATAACATAAACCCTCATAATGTTTGGGTTTTTTGTTTATAATTGCATAAAATGCCACCCAAAGTAACAAATTACACAACTGATGCAAAAATTCAACAAAAAAAAAATTTATTTGTATTTGAGTCTTGAAAATCCTATCATAACAAACACTAGCCTCGTGTGAACAGCTCACGAACATGCGTTAAGAATCTTAGCACAACCCTCAACCGGTTAAGGGTTGCCCGCCAGCTTGCAATGTTGTAATCGTGTTATGATAGTGCGCGCTGTGCGAAGCGCTGGATTGTGGCAAGATGTAATAAAAACCTTTAAGCAAAACCCAAGAGACTTGCTGGGACAAGAGGAAGAAGAACAAAAAGTGACACTTGATGATGCTGGAACACAACATATAACACTAAAATAACAAAAGACATTGAGATAGGAAAATATAAGAAGTACAAGAAGTACTAATTGTGGGTGTCTCTCATGCGGATTGTATTTCCAATGAAAAAATAATCTTTTTGAAAAAATAAACAAATTTTTGCTTCAAAAAATTAAAAAAATTTCCTTTCATACTTGTAAATGTGTCTAGATAATGTGAATAATGTGATAAATGTGATAATAAGTATGAACTTTGTGCTCCTCTGTGGTTGAACGACATTCCACGTCCACCTCACAGCTTTTACTTCCGGTGCGCACAAAGGTGGCACACTTTACGCGTGTGCTGACATTGCCACAAGGGGTGTAACCCTCAAACTCACTTTTCATTTGCGATAGTAACCTTGACCTGTAAAATCATTTTTTTCATTTCTCGTTATGCATTTTTATTAACTAATTCAATTCTCCATCGACACGCAAAATAACAATTTATAGTGTTTCGTGACTTATAAATATTAATTTAATTTCCTACTCGAATATGAATATAAAACTGTTTTCAATTTATCATATTTTATTTAGATTGTTTCGGAAAACACTCCGGACGCACACAGCAATTAGTATTGATTGACGCGGTGTTTATTCAGAGCTAATTCGACGTTAAGTGCGCGTCGAGATGTTAAGCACGCGCCAGAGTTAAGTCCCTCTTCATTGGGCGCCTGAAATAGCTTAAGTCAAGTAGGAGGCGCAAATGAAGTGGTGGGTGTTAGAAATCCACCAAGGCGTGTCTTAAACACTGAAAATTTTCAGTATTTTCAGACTTTCTGTGATTATTTGCAGTTTTGCATGATCAGTCAACCGTAACACACTTAAAAGTCAACCTTTGCATTTTACTTAAAGCTAAACTTAAACTTAAGTCATGATTTATTTTTATTGGTGGTGATAAATTTAATATTCTGTGTGTTGTGATGCCACGAAAAAGAAGACAAACCTCGGAATCCTTGCAAGATTCGGACGATAGTGAGTTTGGAGAAGATGGACGACCACATCCGCAGCGTAATGCGGCGAATGCAAGGGAACGCGCCAGGATGCGAGTCCTGAGTAAAGCGTTCTGTCGCCTGAAGACAACGCTCCCCTGGGTGCCGGCGGATACAAAGCTTTCCAAATTGGATACCCTTCGACTCGCCACCAGTTATATAGCTCACCTGCGTGCTGTGCTCACTGATCAACCCACGTCGCAAATCGAAAACGGACATAAACATCCACTTACACTGGTAAATACAGAAAATTACAAACAAAATAAATAAAAATAAGGAAAAATGTGGTTGCGTTTATTACTGCGCATGAAATCTTTAAATATCAAAGCAAACGCAATGAAAACGCGCTGAAAGAAAAGACAGCTGGAAACATTTGTTCCGTTACACCAGTTGGAAAAGTTTAGATTAGATTTATACGTTTTAAACATGTAAATATCTTTCGGGTTTTACTCGTAAGCTTCGGGTTTAAGTGTTTATACAATTTAAGACTAACTAGTGACGATTTATTCAAAGTTTCAAACAATGTTTTCCGATGGTTTTAAAGGTTTATTGCCATTAAATCCAAAAGAAAAAAACATTACTGAAAATCTTTTTGTTTTTGATCTGTTAATTTGTCTTTATTTGGGTTTTCTTCCGTAGACATGGCCGTTTAGCTTCCAGAAGGGCGACGCGCAACCCGAGACGACATCAAATGACGCATTGCATTGCGGCGCGGAAATCACGTCAACCGGCTGGAACATGGAACACGCCGGTGTCATCCGAAGCACCGAAAATAATTTCAACGCCAATTACTACTACTAAGTACGTATACCTAACGTACACTTCAAGATGTCATCAGAATGTCAGAAGAAACAAGGCAAAAACCAAATCTTAAAATATTTCGACTAAAAATATAAACTATAACACTATAAACATTATTTATATTAAATATAAAATATTTACTTTGTTTGTCTAGGATTTACAATTACGAGTATGTGCAATTAATTTAAATAAAATAATATACGCAACTAAAATTGCAATTAATTTGTTTCAGCGTGAAGTGTTGGTTGCCTATAATAAAATGTATTAAGTTTCAAAGCAATTAACACTTCGAGCGCAGACATTTAACACTTTAACAGGGCGTTGAAAGACATTAAAACACAAGGAAAAAAAGATTAGCAGTTTAGTCGGGTGCAAATTTATTTTACGCTTCAAGTTCTGACTTTCTTTTGACTTCTCTTGACTTGAGATATATTAAACTGCAGTTTTGAATGCTTCTAATTTGTCTTTTTCTCTAGTACTACCTGAAAATAAAGATGTAGAGGATACAGTTAGTTGTTATTCAAAACTTTACAAATTTCAGCCATGGAACTCTTCTAGTATCGAATTACATGATGAAACTTCTTCAATATGTAAGCATTTACAAAATGCATGAAACGACCCAAAAACTTAAAGGAAAGAAAGCGAAAAGAATTAGGAATAATAAATAAACATCCCTCGAACTATTTGGATCCGTTTCTTCTTCTTTTTCTCTCACTTTTGCTTTTGCAAGTCCCTAGACTTCAGGAAACTTCAAAGTTAAGCCACGAGCCCCATAAAACTACGTTACCTCGATGTGGGTTTCGGTGGGGCAATAAAATAGTAAAGGGATGGGCGTGAAAGAAAGAAGGATTATCGTGCGCGAGGGTTGTTAAATTTATTATCTGGATGACTGCGCCAACCGCAAGAACGCCCGGCCGACTAAAGATGTGTGAAGATGAGGAACGGGCGGCAGACGGTGCGATGACAAAGCGGAGTGAAAGTTCCAAGACACAAGTCTCAAGCAGATGGGGATGGCAAAAGGGAGAAAAAAGTTTGAGATATTTAGATGCGTGATTAGATGGGTGACGGATGAAAAATGATGCAGATTATGGATGGTTTCTTACGTCCTAATTGGTGATAATAAATCTTTGAAAATTAACACCTCGTGATAGCATTTTGTTTAAAAATATACTTATTTATTACCCTATCAAAATATAATTTTATAAATATTTATAGTTTACAAATCAATTGTCTATCTAATTTTTTAGTAGAAAAAACAATATTTTTTTATATTTTAAAAACATGCTTTGGAAAACACCCTGTATCTCTTATACTAATAGGGTAACTTAGGGTTTCTTATCGTTATATTGTAGTTAAAGAGATTCTTTACAATATGGGTATCTTTTTAGTCCTTTAAACGCACATGAAGTGCCTTAAAATGGCCATCAATTTACCTGTTTTGTATTTTCTATTCTTGGGGTCAAAAGACAGGACAAAACTTCAAATGAAATTATTTTCAGCTAAAAAGGTATAGGCATAGACAAAGTTTTTGGTTTTAATTTAATTTTGGGTAAAAGGCAGACCCAGAATTGTTTATTGAATTATTTTCTTTAAAAATCAGGGCAGAACTTAATTTTAAAATTATTTTCGATGAAAAACCGAAGAAAAAATTTAATTTTTGGCTGTTCAATGATTTTTTGTAAAGAATTGTGGATATTTAATTTTTTCACAATTCTATATAATACTTTTAATTCATTTCGACCTAAAATAATTTTAAAATTTAGTTCGTCCCTGACTTTTAGTAAAAATAAAATAAAAATATTGAAATTCCTTTTTTAACCATTTAAAACTCTTAAAAATTGTTTTCTACAATTTAATTTGTACATTATAATTTAACTTAAACATTCGCGAACTGATTTGTACGAAACTGCAACTCAATATTCATTTACACAGCCCGCAGATTTAGAAATTCGTACAAATGTTCCTATACGCGCCCTCTCATGGATGCTGGCTGAACGCTTCGTTCTATAAGGAACATTACTTTGTACAGGCATCACAAAACGTGGTGGTCTTTCTAAATAATGTCCTGCTAAACCAATTTCTGTACGAAGCCAAGGATCCTCTCCAATCCTAAACAAAACAAAAACCATAATTAACCACAACTAAAATAACAATAATTTCTATTTCACCATATCAAAAAATTCGGAATATTCGTCCTTGACCATTTCCTCAAAACGTAGATGAACAAAGGTATCAAGCTTATAAGGGACAGAATAAACAGTCCAGTGAGATGACAATGTCTCAAGTTAACGGTCGGATCCTTCATTGCCTTGAACGTAAAACTGAGTTTAGCGCAAATCCACCGTACGATCGTGTGTTTGCCGCAAATGGCCTGATCTGAGATTAAAAGGATGATAATTACTAATCCTTGGCACACATATCCCGCCGTCAGTTTGTACATTCGCAAAAACATGAACCAGAGTTTACTCAAGTAGAAATAGGACCAGTGGAATGTTAATTCCTGCAAAACAAACAGATTCATTTCTATAAATCTATTTACACATATTAAGCGTATTAACTCACCCTAAAAAACCATGCGCGAAGTGAAGTGTAACCGAATCTCGTGTAACGATGACAGAATTTGTAGATAATAATGAAGTTTGTGACCAGAAAGAGAAAACTTGGGAACGCAGTTATAAAATTACTTCCATATTTATTCAATTCGTATGTTTCCTTAGCAAATTGTGTGTGAATCTTGACTAAATCACTCCACGCCTCCCAAAACCACATTTTAACAATTAATTTTTATTTTAATTAATTTCATAATGAGTGGAATGAATTTTGATGCGATTTTTGATGATTTAAAACTGACATTAAAACAACTTCAGAATTTGATTCATAGATGTCGCTTGTGTTCAACATCAGTTAAAGTTTACTCAGGTCGATCGTTGCCGGCGGCGGCGGCGGCGGCGGCGGTGGCAAACTTAAAGCACGCATTCTCCATCCAGACTGCATGACAACGGCGGCGAGTATCGCACCGCCGCTAGTCAGAGGGTAGTCGCGAGAGCACGCGTGCACATCGACCGCTTCCCACCGCCGCCGACGACGTCGGGTCGCACACACGATTCCGTGTGTTCATCGCGTTCGATTCCCCCGAAAACCAACCAAGTGACAATCTCGCGTTGCGTTCATTATAGATAAACAAATAAATAAATATAAACATCAAAATAACTCATCTTAGGCAAAACGTTCCGCGAAAACATGTGCAGTGTATTGCTTATAACTAAATAAATAAATATTTACCATAGCTACATACAAGAAATATCAAAATATATCTAATAACTAAGCATTAATAATAAATAAATAAATAACTAAATAACTAAATAACTTAGTGCGTTTTTCGAGAGCTTTTCATCAGTAACTATACAATACGTATCAAAGCTTTATTTAGTGATACGTGTTGATAATAATTAATAATTAGTAGAAACAAGTGTTCATTGTTGTCCCTAAATTCATCAAGGACATAGCTATCGTACTGTTTGTAAACATTGTATGAACTGAAACTGTGAATTTGTTGATTTGTGAATTGGTGCACGCTGTGATCATCGCTTCTTTGCATTTGGATTGTATTTCGTCGTTGTATGCTGGAGCATCTCGTATAGAAGTATCGTCTAGGTGTGCGAGAGGAAACAGACTCTAATTGGATTTAACGGTAATTAATCTCGTTTATTTTTCTTTGGTGCTGGGCTTTGTTCAGGACTCGTAGATCTGTCTCTTTGGATTTAAGCTGTTAAATTGTTTAACTTTTAGATAAACTCAATTTAAATCACTGCGCTCACCCAAAAAATATATTTTTATTTTTAATTCAGTATCTACACATTTATGAAATATAAATATCATAAATATTGGTTTGATTGAAATGTTTGTACGTTATTAATTGAAGCAATTTGTTTTGCTTTCGTTGGAATTTAAATAAAAATTCATTTCAACTTTTGCGTTGAAAAATACATATTTTCGATGGTGGTTTTATTCAATTAAGCAAATAAATAACAACGGATGGCTGTAAAACAAAAATATATCATGTCGACCACCAGAAAATCTGTTGAAATCTGGCGTACGAGTGTAATTACTTGATTTTATGGCTTGTGTGCATATTTTGCGCCCAACAACCTATATTTATGCATATTTTTATACGTCATTATTACATGCCTCACTTCCTGTTGACTTTTTCTTATTATTTTCCATGTATACACTGTGTTGCCGGAATGATTCTATTAGAAAGGCAGCGGTTTTGTTTGAATTTTAAGAATCACTTTGTAGTCACTTTTTATGCACGAAGACGCTTACATTGCGTGTAATTTTGAAGTTCAGCTACCTGGAAAATAAAATCATGACATAAAATGAATCCGAAGATCTCATATCCAAGGCGTGGCATTAGGGGGTTATAGGTTTTAGGGGGTAATTTGGGCAAATAACCTCATATCTAATGTTTTATACGTCAAGAGTTTCGGGAATAATCATAACAATATTCATATCTACGTAAATACAACGCAAAAATGAGATTTGATCTTAAAAAGAAAGAATTTGCAGGTTTTAGCTCCAAAAGTTAACACTACTTGTATGTGGCGCCATCTATTAGTGTTACTTGGATACTTGGGTAGCTGTAACTCAGATGGAACGAAAACTAGCAGATTTCAATTGCTACATTGGGAAGTAAAACAAAAAACGCATTTTTCAACACAAATCGTCTAGTTATTCAAAAATAATCATAAAAATATTCATATCTAAATTTATTCAACGTAAAAATCAGTATTTACCATAAAAAGAAAGAATTTACTGGTTTTTGCTCCAAAATTTGACACTAATTGCATGTGGCGCCATCTATTAACCGCACCGCTATATTTGAATAGCTGTGATTCGTATAAAGCAAAAACCTGCAGATTCCTACTCCTATTTTACGTCGTAAAACAAAAAATGTATTTTGCAACCCAAAAGAAAAGATAAAAGAAAGAAAAAAAGATATTAAGATGTGAATGCAAATGAAGAGATACGAATATAGGAATATAAATATAGGTACAAAAGGTTAAGAAGCGCTGCGGTGCGTAAACCGAAGCGAATAAATGAAAAGCAAACGAGTGAGGACTCAAAGGTATTGTGTTACCAGCGAGGACTTTATAAATTTACTTAATGGCTAATGCCTAAAATAAATGCTGCATAAATACTTCTATAAACATAAAAGCAACATTATTATCAAACAAAAATATGCCCGGTAAATGTTTAATGTTAAAAACTGTCTGGATTAATTTATGTTTCAATATTTCTTCGCCCTGCCTTGCTTTTTGGCTTTGAAATATTTACTTATTGATTTTTTGCGTTTCGAAAATGAAAAAAATATATAACGCGCGGTAGAATCAACTTTAGAATATACCATGTAGGAATATGTTGAATTCTGTGCACGATACATGCGCCACCACTACTACCAGCAGTAATACCGCCGCCCCCCATTTGCTCCGCCGCGTATAACGCCGGATTGCAGCTTACTTTGGCTCGTTTTTTCCTCTGGCGGCGTCGAGTACGCGCTGTGCACAATAAAATTGTGAGCGCGCAATTCGCCACCGCCGACCGTTCGCCTGCTTCACCCCCATATGAGTTTATGCAAGATGTATGCACATAAACAATGCTAGGACGCACAATTTACTCGCGCGAGGGTTAAGTGTCCGAAACAAATAGGAAATTGATAACACTATCAACATAAGTAGGTTTACAACTTGGAATTGGTAAAATTTCATTGTATGCAACCAATTTTACATTAGGTACGCGTGTATAGTAAAACGTGTTGCCTAAAAAATCTACGGAAAAGTGTGATGTAAACATGTTGAATGCACAAAAAAAAACTTGAACTCAAACTAGACCAACACCAAAGCCACCAAAGGATAAAAAGGCACCAGTGACACATTCATTAATGCCACATTTCACACAATAACGCTGAAAAGCTTTCAGGCTTTGTGCGTCGTTTGTTTGAAATTTTTTTCGCACTTGAAAAATTGTTTGCGCATAATTAGTCATGCAGCCAAATATTTACACTTTAATAAAATAAAATAAAAATATTCCGAAATAAATTACATGATACAATTTCTTTTTATCGGAATGTGTGCAGAAATGATTTTAAAACTTTGTCGATTTTTTCCCATCGCAACTTTTAACTTTTTTCTTCCTTTTTGTTCGCTTGACTTCACTTTCGTGCGGTTTTCCAAGGCGCACTTTTACACTTTTTGAACTTCTTTAATGGGCGCATTTACGGCCATAACATTTACGCAACATTGAAACTTTCCGAACGACAATGTAACATTTTTTTCCCCGGCCGACTTTTCAACTGTCTTTTCGATGTTCCATAACATTCCATTTTATTCTACAAGCAAGTGTTATTTTTCTTTCTGTACTTTTATTCGTTGTTCAGAAATAAATTGTGATTAGTTAAAAATTTCCAACTTTGATGTGCAAATGTTAAGCGCGTATTTGATCTGCACGCGTGTGGGCAATCAAAATAGCATTTAGCATCGACATTTGTCGAAGCTTTCATTAAGTCGGCTTCACTAGTTGGAAATTCGGCAATGCTACTCGTTCGACGCCCATTGAATGTCGTGTGTGCGCTCATTTAGCAGCTTCAGAGGCTTTCGACGGTTTCGACTGTTTGAGGGCTGCGACTTTGACTTTGCGTTCGACGAAATGCAAAATTAATTTCCCATCAATCATCTTTGTGCGCTCGCCCGAACATTGTTCATTAATTACCAAAACTCAAACAAACACAAAGTTTAGAGCATTTTGAAATCCAGAGGTAGAGAAATTGGGTTTCAAGAGTAGGACAATTTGAAATAAATCAATATTTACATCTATATTCAAATTATACATCCTTTTTATATATTTTAAACGCGAAATTGGGTTTTTTGTTTGTTAGTTGCGCTCTTACGCTAAAACTACTCAACCAATCTTCATGAAATTGTGTATACACATTTTCAAAGGTATAACAAAGGTTATAGGATACTTTTTGATCTAAAATTTTAATTTAAAGGATGTTAAATAAGGGATGAAAGTTGGTATAGTGATTAAATCGTAGTTATAGTTGAATAATTCAATCATAGATGGCGCTAAAATTCATTATTAGCATTTCTTATATGATATATACCCAATTCAAGAAACCAAACAGTAAATATTAATTAAATAATTACAAATAACGACAAAAACGAAGCAAAAGCTTCTATTGTATGTATCTATAACATTTTTTATAATATTTATTTGTGGGTAGGTAACAATGGTGTATACTTGAAGAGTAGAACTCTTTGTTCCGGTCGGACTCTACGTCCGTGACCTATAATCAGCGGCGCTTTTATTCCGACTTACCTAATGCGTTTTCCTGCGCCGTGCGTTCCCACGACCATCGACCAATTCACACACACACACACAAGCAACAAACGCAACGCAAAACAAACACTAGTTTTATTACAGTTTTTGCAACAATAAAAAGTACGCACCGTGGCATCAACAATACTAATTTTTTTATTGTGCACATAAAAGTGCTGTTAAATTAGCGCTGCTTGATTATACTCGTAGTCAACAAATTAATGTCGAGTTGTTATGTTTTTATCATCATCAGGGCGATATTTTTTGCGCGATTTTTATCCGGGGAAAAATTGCAAATTGCATCAATTTTTTACGTTTACAACGGTTAAGTGCAAATCGACAAATGTGAAAATGCAGTCGGCGAGCGTCGGCGAGAGTCATGCGATGTTGTTGTGTAATCGCAATTGAGAATGCAAAAACTACCACCAACTACCCGAGTGCATAAAATCAAAATTAAAGGGTTACGATATTTACGATTTTGCATGACATGCAAAACTCGGAAAAAATTGAAATTTTAGTTTTTGAAAATTTTGCACACAAAAAAAGAACATAAATTGCATGCTAAAAGGGTTGAAGTTCAAATTTCCAAATGGGTGAATATCGATTTAACAGGTGAATCGTAATATTAACCAATGTTAAATGTTAATGTGTTCCAAGTGCGTTTAACGACGTAAATAAAATATCGGATTCGCTTTCGAAGCAATCAGAAAATATTAGGAAACGGCAAAAACAAGGGCGGCAATCATGTCTTTCGTTCAATCATTCAGCTGGAAGGAAAATAACAGGTCATTCAACTTGATTATCATCCATTATTTATGAGTCAATTGCATATTTATTACATATAATAAAAAATATATCGTTAGTTTTTCTATACTCGAAATGAAAATCATTTTTAACTGTATTTTGATGCTTTTTGTTGTGAAATTCTTTCCCGCTTGCATTGTGTAGATGTACGAGTATGAATGTTTTAGGTATTTTATGTGCGCAGCGGAGGATAATGAGAGTATCAGAGTACAATGAGCCAAATAGGAAATGCATATTTGTTCGTTGTTCATTTTCGGCGCAAGTTCGGCGCGAGTTGAGCGAGTTGAAGCGTTCGGTGTTCGAGGGGGCGCATTTAGCCCTGAGCGGATTTTCGGCGGCTTTGGGTTTTCCTGTTTTCCGTTTGTTCGCCCGCTTAACAACGCGATTTTGCATGTTGACAACGCTCAAAGAACGCGCTCTAATTTCAAATGTTCAAACATTCAACAACAAACAATGAAAAATATAATAAAAATAAGAATTTTCAATACCTTTGAATGATTAAATACGACA